AACATTGATAAAATTAAAATATTTTTGAGATACGTTGGTGATCCAGGTTTCCAATCAGGAGTAGGAGAAGATGTTGGTGTTCATCAAAGTTCTGTCCCAAAAGTAGTGACGGAAGTTATTGAGAAGATAATAGAAAAAATGCGGACTGTGGATAAAATTTCCTCAAACTGCTGCCGACATAATAGAGGCGAAACAAAAATGGCAATCAAAATATTCTTTTCCGTGTACATTGGGCATTATAGACTGTACCCACATAAAAATAAAAAAGCCACCTATTCATAGCGATGAATATATTAACCGCAAAGGATATCACAGCATTAATGTACAAGCCACATGCAATTCAGATGAGTGGTTTACAAGTGTAGATGCTTCATGGCCAGGATCTATTCACGATTCACGAATTTGGAGCAATTCAGAAATTTCAATTATTGCGAGGAACAATTTTCAGAGGGTGTAAGCACAACTCTTAGGAGATGAAGGATACGGCATAGCACCGTGGCTAATGGTACCTTTTAGAAATCCGAATACACTACAAGAACGTGCTTATAATAATTTATTTACAAAGGAACGTGTAATATTTGAAAGATCTTTTGGTCAACTAAAACAACGATTTCCAATGCTACAATATAAAGTGCGGGTATCCATAGAAAAAGTTCCAAAATTTGTCATATGAAGTTGAATATTACACAATAGCAAAATATTTAAAAGATGAGCTAGATCCTATGGAGCTCCCATTAGAAGATATCCCAGGAGGTGGACAATAATATTAGAAGAAGCGGGCAACGGAGGAGATCTGAGTTAGCGAATATCATTGTTGCTCTTGCTTGAAGTAAGTAAAATGTAGAAATAACGTATTTATCATTTTTATTATTAACACTTTGGAAAAATGTCACATGTTACAATTCTTTTAATTCGTAAGTGATTCTAAAGAGTATTATAATTTGAAATATGCTTGTCCCTATTCACTGTGAATGATATTATTATTGCTTGAATTAGATTGTTCATCATCATCTCTGTTTAGCCGTCTCTTGAGTTTTTCCTCTTTTATTTCTAACACTGTCAGTGTTTCAGCAAAACTAGTCTTTGTAGTTCGTTATTCGAGAGTTTGTTTCATATTCTTCGAGAGGATTAACTTTATTGTGTTTCTTTCTTTTAGGTGCATGTTATACTGTGCTAATAGCATCATCATTTGCTGCACTCGTTTCAGAAGCAGAAGTTGATTGCCTAGGGATTGTATCTTCGTGGCTGATTTTTGTCTCTGTTTTTTGTATGCCGACGGATAATGCTCCTAAAATGAAAAATTAAGTAAATATTCATACAGTATCTACTATAAAAGGTGGACAAGTGATAAAGTTTCGCAGATAGTAATTGTAACCTTTTTTTGTATCTAAGCTATAATGTCAAATGCACAAAATAACAACTAATAGCAAACTTTAGATAGGATTACTGATAATATGAAAATGTAAGTAAAGTTATTTATGAAGAAAATACTAACTAATTTACCTGGAATTTTTGCAAGCAGTGGATTTGTGTTGCCTTCCATGAGTTCCATCAAAATCTTTTCCCAATCCTGCAGCACAATTTTCTTATTTCCAGTTCTGTTTATGTCAGTCTTTTTCTTGAGTCTGGATTTCATATTATTAATTTTTTTGTACATTTGACTTGTCGTTATTTGTGTTCCGAAATTCAGCTTCCACTGTTTTTTGATTAGTTCTAGTGCTTTGATTTTTGACTGTCGGACAGTTGGTGTTTGTGACTTGGATAAAAGTATGGGAAAATCACGTAGCATATTTACAAATCCCGATTGGGATTCGCCGGTTTTATCAGTTTCTTCTTCGCTTTCACTCATTGCACGCTGATTGACTGTATACTTGAATGTATACTAGTACACGAATATGCCACACTTTTTTATTGTGGTGCAGGTGCAGATGCAGACTTGTATGGACGAGTATCTACTTTATGTGCTAGGAGCAGATACTCCTCTCAGCGAAATATTTTTATTCCTACAAAACGGAGAACAAACTAGCACTTGATGCTTATGCTCATGAGTACATACTCGGAGTTTAAATTCAAGTGTTATTCATATCACCCATTGTCTTTTTCACCAGTAATCATTACGGTAGCATAACAGCTGATCATCTAGCAATATTTCAAAATGCTCCATATCGACAAATAACATAATTTTGACGAATTCGCCAACACCAGGTAGTCAGAGTATTTTGTTTTGGATTTTGTACATTACAGACTGAGTTTGTACTTGCTAACAACTCTTTTATTTAGAAAAGTTCATTTGCATACAAAAAACCGATACAAGCAAGTTTTACTAGATTTACACCTTATTTATTATTTCTAAAGTTACAGACACCTTATTCGTAGTTCATTTACGCCCTAGCACAACAAAGATGCAGTGCGGCAAAGCGACAGCCGAGTAAGCGTTGCAATAACTATTGGTCATTCGGCCATAAAACTACGAACAAGTGCAGGATTCGACAGGATAGAACTCAGGCTCGGGGTATCGCCGGCATGCCGACGCCGGCAGTTGCTGTTCGTATTCGGTGCATACATAGCGTGTGTTTATACTTTAGCATGTCGTCTACGGATAGAGCAAATGAAATTGAGAATATTTCTCCCAATGCTTCCTTCAGCCATGCTTCCTTTTCGAAAACGTGACAAGAATGGACATTTGCAGATTCAGGCAAAAGAAATTGTCCTTAACGTTTATATGAGCGAAATTTGATAGCATCCTGAAATGAAAATTCATGATATTGAAAGATGTGAGGCGAACAGAACAGGCTTATGTCCTAAGTTTCAACATTGTTAAAGAATATACAAAAAAAAATGTCTCCACCACACAATAGGCTGCATTACACGAAGCTGTTGGATACAGTTGATTACTTTGATCGGAATGCCATCAGACGCAAAGCTCATCAATTTTTTGAAAGGCAGGAACTTCCCACCATAGACAAAGTATTACAGAAGGTTAATAGTGATGAAGACTTACCTACTTTCAAAAGGCCCACATTCTATAGTTTACTCAAAGAACTTCATTTTGAGTATAGAAATAGTATTTTGATGGGCAGCCAAGCGATTATTTTATGGAGAAGAAATTATTTAAAATGAATGAAGAAATACCGCGACCAGGGCAGGAAGATTTGTAACTTTGATGAAACCTGGATAAATGCAGGATATACAACACCTAAAGTATGGGCTAACTCTATAATTAAATCAGCAATAGAAGCCTTCTTAGATGGACCAACCACTGGCCTAAAGAATCGGTCAGGTAAGTGTATCTAACCAATTCGTAATTTCTGTTGTAAAAATGGTGACAAGTAGACTATCTATGAGCCTACGCTGAAAACTTAGCCATATCTATAGTAAAATACCAAAATTGATGACAGTAGCGAAACTCATCGTACGCCACTGCTAATACGCGGAGACCTTCGAAAATGCGGCGCTTGTTTGTAAAATGTCAGTAAACGTCGCTGTAATCAAAAGGTACAGCGTCAAAGCAGTGGCGCACGATGACTTCTGCTACTGTCATCAATTCTGGTATTTGACTATAGTAGATTTGGAACCAACACTTGTTAGATACTCTGCTTGTATTATTATTAGTTTTCTTGAATACTATATGAAATAATTATTTCCAGGAAAAGGAAACCGATTTGTTATCTGTCACTGAAGATGGCTTTTTGCCCACTGCCCTATGGGCATTTGAGTCAAAGAAAACGACCGACTACCATGAAGAAATGGACAGGAGTTCATTTCAACGATGATTTGAAGAAACTCTCCCAAAGATTAGCGACCATGCCGTCATTGTACTTGATAATGCTGCATACCACACTAGAAAACTAGAAAAAATGCCGACAATGTCCACAAGAAAGGCAGAAAATCAACAATGGCTCCTATCAAAAGACATTAGTTTAAATGAAAATATGGTCAAAGCATAACTTATCCATCTAGTCAGGCAGCACAAATATAAATATAATCTTAATGTTATTGACGAAATGGCTGAAAACTAAAATAAGACCGTTTTAAGGCTACCCCCTTATCACTGCGAATTAAATCCCATTCAAATGATTTGGGCAAATATAAAAAACTATGTGGCTTTAAACAATAGAAGATTCAAGTTTTCTGACGTGTAATTTTTTTTATGAAGCTATAAACAGAATGACGGCAAACCATTGGAAATATTGCATCCGTCACCTTCAAGAGACAATCGAAACAAGGATGTGGGATCTGGACAATATGATGGATATTCAAATTGAACCTGTAATAATTAATATTAACCATTCGGATGATGATTCAAGTAGTTCCAGCAAGTAAAGAATTGTGAAAAGTATGTGCACTTCTTTCTATAAAAATAATCATTTATTTTGTTAGATTATTCTAAGACCATTGAGGAAAATACGGATCTGTACAATCTCGCTTTTGGGCATGTGTTTTGTCTGGACGTAAATGGACTACGAATGGGGTATAATACAAAGATGCCACTTGCTGATCAGCTGTTCACTTCAAAGACGTTGAAACGTGAAATACGGTTTACTTCAACTTGTGGACAACCTGTATATCATATTGATAAGAGTTCTGGCTCAAGTTTCACGCTCTGTATACATCAGTAGCCATTAAGCAATCCAGAAACCCTTAGGTCGGCCCTACATCTTGTGTTTACAATAGTCTAATTTTTATCCACAGCGGATCGCCTACAACTATCACCAGGTCATAAAACGCCATGTTTATTTGCAACAGCACACACAAAATAATGACCTAAAGTTCAGCTAAACTGTGCAAAACATAAACACATGACACTTGCCATGACAGATTTGTTCAATAAGGCCTAACCTTGTAACCAAAGATGTTATGCCATATGGCCTAGGCACTCTAAATCAATGGCCAAACTCTATACATGGAAAGGCGGCTGTACGTTTGTTCCTAGGATTTCAAGGAATGTAAAATTATTTGCATGAAGACACTATACCAAAAAAAATCTCACATTGATTTACCTGAACTTAGCAGTCTTGGTCTATTTGGTTGATGGAACGCCAGATTCCTCAACACGGACAAGGCCAATTTCTTATTCGGTAATCTGGAACCTGAAGTAAATACCATAACCAGTTCTAAAATATCAGAAACTTTTGCCACAGATGCTTGCCCTTCCGGATAACCTGTATAAATCAGCAAAAATCTCAGCCAAAGAAGTTCTGTGTCGTCCCAGGGTTTCTGACGTTTTGTAATTGCTGGATGTAGTCTAGACATGCTTTGTAACAAGTTACTCTGGAATCAAATATTCACCATGTTATATTCGTCAATCACGAGGTGTTGTAGAAATTAGGCAAATACAATGTTCCAAAACCATTTGATAGGCACTTATACAGGGTGGTCGATATGTAACTGACTGGTTTGTATCTTAAATATTTGTGAAATAAAATAAAATACGTCCGTTTTTTTCTTCTTAATATTTTATTTAAATTTAGAAAATATGTATCAAAAATAATATCAGATAAATGTCCGCCTCTAGAAGCCGCGCAAATCTCAGCCCTCCTGATTAAATTTTTCATCACTTTTTCGTAGGTTTCTGGAGGAATATTTTCGATCGCTTCCATAATATTGTTCTTCAGCTGCTCTACGGTATTTGGTTTGTTGGCATAAACCCTATTTTCAATAGGCCCCATAAAAAAAGTCAGGAGCCGTTAAGTCCGTTGAGCTTGGCGGCCAGTTGATATCACCAAATCGAGAAATTATACGTCCCGGAAATGTTGTTCGCAAAAGAATGAATTGTTTCCCTAACTGTGTGACAAGTTGCTCCGTCCTGCTGGAACCACATGTTTTACAGGTTGAATTGTTTGATTTGAGGAGCCAGAAAGTTTTGCACCATATCACGGTAGCGCTCGCCAGTGACAGTAAGATAATTCAGCGTCTTCAAGGTCCAATGACACCTCCATGCCAAACATCGCACCTAACTGTGACTCGACGAGGATGTAGTGGTCGTTGATGGACGACACGATGGTTCTCTAATGTCCAGGTACGACAATTCTGCATATTAACAAATCCGTTCATGTCGAAGTTGGCTTAATCGCTTATTATCAGTTTTCGGTAAAAATACAAAGTTCTTGAGAACGAAGTCTGGTAGACGTCTCAGGGCGCTCCACTACACTTTCACGAACTCTCTCGATATTTTCCGGAGTACGAACAGTTTGAATACAGCCCGACGTCAGCAAGTCTTTAACTTCACCTGTTTGTTCAAAATTCCGCACGAAGTGACGAATGGTGTTTACACTGGACACATTATTTCGACCGAAATCTTGTAGCTTCCGAATCGTTGCAACAATCGACTTATTATTGAAGCAAAACGTTTTAACAATACGGATGCGTTGTGGGATCATGTAGTGCTCCATGATGAATTGGACATATGTTCTTTAAACAACTACAACGGCACCACCTACTGAAATGCGTGTATAAAAAATGGCGCACAATTTAAATCAGTCAGCTATATATTGGCCACAGTGTACTTTCATTACAAAAAATTCAAAAACGTTTGACTACTGGTTTCTTGTACCTTACCTTGGACATTAGTACCCTACATTCCAATGACTCACAGCAGTTGATAAGAAGGTTAAAGGATGCTTCTAGTACTGTCAACTCATGTGTTTTGCTGATGAGGTCCATCTGTTTGTTTATCAGGTTAATTACAGCATGAAGTAAAGACACGTTGCTTGGTGATTTCCTTGGTCCTGATCCAGCTACTGGACTGGTCAGCGGAAGTGTCTGACAGGCTAATAATGAGAATAGCCTTTGAATGATATATACTCAGTGACATTAAAAGTGTTAAACCCAGAAAAAATAATTTCTTCAACTTGTTTTTTAGCAACATAATGACAATATTTAATCATGTTGTGCCAAAAATGTCAACGTTTTATTTTTGTTATCTTTGTTTACTTCTGTTAAAATGTTATCTCTTAGTTTTTGCGAAGAAAGCAGTTTCTGAGAGCTGAGTAGTACAGATATTTTTAGTTATTGCCCTTTCATTTACTAGTGATAAGCATAACAAAATGTCTCGAGTCCAAATTATCACATGTTAGCGACTTTGGCAGGAGTAGAATTATTGCCGATCGAGATGTTGGTTTGCCCTATCGCGAAATTAGCCGCCGTGCTAATTGTACTGCAATGACGGTAATACCGAGGCGTACCACAGAGCGTCAAGATAGGCGCTTCAGACAACTAGCCCTACGAGACCGTTTTGCTACTACGCCTCAGATCGCTGACCAATGGTTTGGAGAAGAAGGTAGACCTGTTATTATGCGTAAACTGTATTGCCGCATTCGAGCCTTTGAACTTTTTTCATATCGTCCACGGTTAGTGCTTCCTCTGACTGCGGACCACTGTCGTCAACGTTAGAATTGGAGCAGAGAACGGCAACACTGGGAGACAGATTGACATAATGTCATCTTCAGCGATGAAACGCGATTCTAACTAGGTACGCACGATGGTCGTAGAAGGGTGAAACGCGGCCGTGGAGAACGGATTTGCTGTTGAGAGGTATGTACACAGGACTGTTGGAGTAGTGGTTTGGGGCGCTATTGCCTATGGTAACCGATCACCCCTTCTCTTTGTTCAAGGCAATATGACTGCTGCGAGTTATGTTGATGATGTCCTACAAACCACTTTACTGCCGGATCTAGAGGGCCGTCCACACGTCCTTTTTCAGCAAGACAACGCACCTCCCCATATTGCTCGTCGTACTACCGACTTCCTGCAAGAAGCAGCCGTTAATGTTTTTCCGTGGCCACCCCGTTCACCGGTTTTGAATCCCATCGAACATGTGTGGGATATGATGTGGAGGAGACTATCCACTTTGCACCATCCACCACAGACTTTGCCACAGCTAATCCACGAAGTTCGAGTTGCTTGGAATGAGGTGCCACAACCAGACATCGATCATGTCATTTTGTCGATGCCTAGACGTATACAGAAGTGTATTCAGCTGCGGGGTCGCCCAACACATTATTAATTTTTTTCTTATTACTTGTCAATAAAATTTCGTTAGTATGTTATCGTTTCATTCTTGATGTAAGACTAGCTCATTGCCAAAAAATTAAGTTGAAAAAATGATTTTTTCTGAGTGTAACACTTGTAATGTCACCGAGTATATTTCAACGCAGTTAAAGTGCATATACAGGGTGTCCCAATATACCGTACATATAGAAGTACCACGTATTTTTAGACTCCTAATGAGTTGATTGGAAATTATTTACCACTATGCAAAATTGCTTTGTTTGTTCGTTAGACGGCGTCAAAGCTTTCTTTTTAATCACATTTTTTCAGATATTTTTGGAACCGATGGTCCGACTTGAATGATATTTGAAACACATCTTTTTCTAAACGTTCTATTTGACGAAAAGCATTAAAGGATTCGGCAACTTTCTCGACGACTTTTATTTAACAGATCTTTTTATTCACTTATTTGTCTCCTATAAAAATAGGCCATCTCGGATAGGCTTCGAGAAAAAAAAATGTGTTGCATCAGGAAGTTCTCAAGCGTCTTATTAATTCTTTAAGTGTAGATAAACAAATATGATAATTATTACTTATCACAATTTTTTTCAATACAGGCAATGGTTCGAATCTTTCATAAAAAGTGATCAATATAATATGACCACCATTTTCGTTCCTGCACATAATACGGCTCAAAAAATTATAGCTAACTTTTTATAAAATGTTATTATTCTCAAATGTATTAGCAGCATTTTGAATGCTATCCCATAGTTGATTGACCCGATCGTCTATCTGAACTTCGCAAAACGAATCGCAAGGATTAAGAGCCGGCGAACGAGGTGGCCATTGAATAGGAGCTTATTGACCTCTATCAATCCATGTTCCATCAAATTTCTCGTTCAATTTCTTACAGCACGTGAACCACCATCATGCATAAAAAATGTACGTTCTTACATTCAAAGGCAGCTCTAATAATTCACGTAAAACGTTTGGTAGGAAATGAAGTTATATAATATCTCCGTTTAATTGACCATGCAACCTATATGGACCAACTAAAAAGTTACCAATAATCCCCATCCTAACGTTAATATTAAATTCCCATTGAAAATGTATTTATGAAACTCCGTACCGAGTTTCTTCAGCGTAAACATGTGTATTATGCAAATTTATCATACCACGTTGGGTAAAACATGACACACCTGCAAACAAAATTTTCTTGTGAAATGGCAATAATTCCTCGACAGGCCGAACGTGAAAAGACCGAAGGAGTTGTTCATTTAAAATCTGGTTAACAGTGCTTCTTTAAACTCCGCGTCCATACTCTAAGCGAGAGCCGATACCTGGATTTTCCTCGACCACATCAAAAACAGCTTCTTCCACAAGCGGTGTTTGGGTTTGCCGCGGTTTCCCAGCGTTGACTCTTAGAGGTTGGAATCGGTCAATTTCTCAAAGTCGGCGTTCTATGCTCGCGCAAAGGTCTGACGATTTGGAATTCGTCGATTCGGATATCTCTTTTGATTCTAACTCTTAATATAATAAGAAATTTTTTTAGAAACCCGCTCCGAAAAACATTTTTATTTCTCGAAAACTATGCGAATTGCCCTATTTTTATAAGAGACAAAAAATAAAGTAGACAAAAGCCGTTGGGAGAGTTGCGAAAAAAATCTGCTATAATTCATGTAAGGGTGGGGGTAGATTTCACCCTTCTCGGATCTTTTCGGTTATCCTTTGTAAAAGTCAATAATGACACATGTATTCCGAATTTATTCAAATCAGACTATCAGTTCCAAAAATATCTGAAAATATGTGTTTAAAAAAACTTTGACGCTATCAAAGAAACAAACGAAGCACTTTTGCATAAAGGTATCATGTTCAATCGACTTATTTTGAGTGTCTGAAATCACGTGGTATTTCTATGACCACAGAATATTGGGCCACCCCGTATAAACGAGAATGAATCTATTAAACCAGGGGGATTAGGGTGTTCCGAAATTACGAAGATTTATGTTGTGTCTTATCCATATTTTATAACTGATAGTATTTGTCAACATGCATTCCCAGTCGGCACAACATGTATAACTAGCATACCTAAATTGCAGTCTGTGGTGTAAATACATAGCATCTTCATGACATCCGCGAGATACACACTCTGCGCTAGAAACCAAACCCACAGCTTATGCACTACGTCAGCCAAGTTCAAAGTTGCCGCTTCCATCTTCACGTGTTCATCGTTCAACATGAAATTTGTCAACAGCCCAACTAGATCATGCACTTCCTTTAGCATTGGACACACCCTTTTCTTATCTGACAGCCTTCTCAGGCTATCCACAGATTCTAAGCTAAGCTTCATGTGGCGCTCTCTCAATTGTTTGATTGCTAGGAGTACCAGACCTAGCAATTAAAATTAACCATATGGAAGATAAATCTAGCATATAATGTAACTAACGAATTCGAATAGATTAGAGGCAGTCAAGCCTATTTGTTTACTTTGCAATGTTTCACCTGAATTGCGTAATTTTAGCGCATACTTTTGACTCATCTGTCTACCAATGCCTACCAAAGTGACAGCATTTAATCAACATAATAATAGTACATTCCAGTGGGTATGTTCTGCTCTTTGCAAATTGTGTAAGAAGTAGCACGTCTTGAAATCGTCTAACACCACAATTATCTGCAAACACTCGCACTTTTGAAAAATAACACTAAAACTACGAATTTAATGACAGAACTGTAAAAAAATTGGCTTATATCAAGTGCACTTTGATCCCCACTACACACTATGAGAATAAGGAGACAAGCAATCCTTGACCGGCTTCTTCTACCTGAATCTACTGAATTTAACCAACAGATAGGTATCGTAATTATTCAGACATCTCTAAACGCATAACATCGATGGCTTCGATACATCGAAACAAATACATCGCTTTCTTTTAACTTATGTGTTCTACGCATTTAACTCAACGATGAATTATTCAACTATTACAAACAGTTCCAACGGAATTGTCGTTTTATCGAACGGCAGAATTCCCATCTCTTTTTTTTCATTGATTTCTTCTGCCACTGATTGCAATATTTCGGTAAAAAAAGTATACTCATATGAATTAGCAAGATATGAGCTTGTCTAAATTGAGAACAAACACATTGATGATCACAAAAAACGAGATAATTATGTTATAATAATTAATTTCATCAAGATTTGAACATAAATACAAACATTCATCTTTGATAATAATAATATCAATCTGGGGTACTATTAAACATATTTTTGCCATGTCGGGAAAGTTGAATTTGAAGCTACCAATCCTTATTTAGAGATGGCAGTACAATTACAGGTACATCGATGTTTTTGTTGTTGATGTCGATGCATCCATACATCGACGAGCACTTTTTATCCGCAAAAACTTATACAGTAGCTGTATCTGACCATTTTTCAATGTTTTTTTAATATTCCTTATTTAAACTAGTAAAATATATAATTTCTTATAGTTTTTGGAAAACAAACCTTTTTCCAAAGCTATCTTCTTAGCTTCTCGTGAGACGCACAAAAGACTGGACAATGCTCCATTCACTAGAGATCTTTTCTTGTTATAATCTGGTCCTTCCTCGCTTTTTAGATCGCAAATATCATAGAGATATAACAGAATCTTGCATATTTCACCGCCGCAAACATCACCTTCTCCTTGACTTTCTACAATATCGATTTCAGTTTCTGAAGAATCATCTCTCCTTTTGAACATCTTGTCGAAATACAATTCTTCCAAGAGATCGATTTTCTGATTCTCAATAAACCTTTTTGAGGGCTTTTTAGGTTTGATATTTTCCTTATTGGTTTCAGTGATGACTACAGTTTTGGTGGTTCTGACTGAATCGAGTAAGCTTTGCATTGATGTTGTTCTGAAAAGGGGACTGTCTACTTCTAAGTTCTGGAAAGCTCGGTACGTTTCTACACGTAAGAGGCAGGTGAGAGATGTTAGCGCCGAGTTTTGTAATTCTGGAAAAAGAGGAAGTCATACACTACAGTATAAAAGTTTCCGGACACTTAACGATTAGTACTGACAAAAGAAATTGAAGAAGGGTCATACAAATATTATTATTGTTCATATTAGTCCGTACGGTGATATGTAACACAAATAATAAGAGGAAACGCTTTTACAGCACAAGTTATATTTACATATATTTTTGGTGAAGAACTCATTTCACTTACAATATACTTGGGATAGGAGCGTTACTATTCATTATTTATATAAATAATATCTCTGACATTTTAGAACACTGCAAAATTCAAATATTTGCGGACGGTACATTTATATATATATATATATACAAGGTTTGGAAGGTAATAGGACTCATTTTCTTCCGCCATGACTGTACTTCGGAGCGTACGCGCACCGACTGGATTCGGTAGAGGGCGTTCCTAGCTAACGAATGAGCGGCTGGTCAGTTGTCTCCGAGCACTTTGAGAGTCAGGACAGGCATTTTCGCGCGACGTGTTTCTGTGAGTGGTGAGAGGTCGCTGATGAAGACCGTGCTGGAAGACCTTCGACAAACACCGATAATGTGACTCGTGTGAGCAAAGTTTTGAACTCAGACCGTCGACTAAGTATTCGTTTAATTGCCCAGATGTTAAATTTACCAAAATCTGTGGTTCATGACATTGTGGCACAGCATTTGAACATGCGCAAGGTGTGCGCGAAGATGGTCCCAAAAGTGCTCACTGACGACCAGAAAATGCGGCGAGTGGAAGTGTGCCAAGAAAATTTGAACATGTGTGAAAGTGACCCAAAATTTTTGAATAACGTAATCACAGGTGACGAGTCGTGGATCTTTGAGTATGATCCCGAGACAAAGAGGCAATCTTCCGAGTGGCACACGACGGCGTCTCCTCGCCCAAAAAAGGGAAGAATGAGCAAATCCAAAGTGAAAACGATGCTCATTGTCTTTTTTGACATCAAAGGCATCGTCCACCATGAATTTGTTCCTCCTGGACAAACCAGCGTCAACGCCAAGTTTTACGTGGAAGTGGTCAGGAGACTCAAACGAAGGGTCAGTCGGGTCCGACAAGACATCGCAGCCGACTGGAAGTTGCAGCACGACAACGCCCCGGCTCACACCGCCTTTCTTGTGAACAGCTACCTGACCAAGGCCGGCATCCTAACGCTTCCGCAGCCGCCCTACAGCGCAGATGTGCCCCACCCCGCCCCCCCCCGGACTTTTTTTTGTTTCCTCGCCTGAAAAGGCCGATGAAAGGCAAGCATCTTGAGACGACAGTGGGGATCCAAGCAGCATGCACCGCGGCTCTCAAGGCTATTCCGGAGAATGCCTTCCTTGACGCCTTCAATGCTTGGAAATCGCGCTGGCAGCGCTGCATCGACGCAGAAGGAGCCTATTTTGAAAGTTTTTAAAAAATTGTAACGATTGGCTCAATAATTTTTTTAAATCGACTCAGTCCTATTACTTTCCGGACAAACCCTGTATATATATATATATAGTACAAACATTTGGACCATCGACTACTAAACACAAGCTGTGTTTAGTAGTTCTTAATTAGAAGCTGGAATGAATGGCTGGATAACAAAATTTGTCTCTAATTAAATATTAAAAATTTATTTTTTAGTCGATGCTTTAGAACTGTTAAATAGTGATATTAAAAAAAAAATAGGAATTGGTTAAATGTTGATTAACTTAAACACTAATAAAACAAAATGTATGTCAATAGGGGAACATTTAGCTGACAACAGATTTAGACTCACGATTAATGATTAAAAAATTGAAGTAGTCGAATCATTTAAATATCTGGGTATATATGTGGATATTAAAATGCTGTTTTATGAGCATTATGAATACATTACTTAAAAAATCAAAAAAGATAAATTAGTTCTGTAGACTTTTCCACAATCTTAGTAAGTATTCCAAAAAAATTGTGCATAACACTATAATTCTTCCCCATGTTTCATATTGTTCAAACCATCTTGTTTACAGCAAATGAAAACATATTTTCAAAATTACAAATTCTACAAAAGAAAACTATGAGAATCATTTTAAATAAAAACAAATATGCTAGGATTGTCTATGTTAGAAGAACTACACTGGTTGAATGTGGAAAATTTTATGTTACTTAGTTCTCGTTTTCATATTCAAATTAAAAAATCTCTTATTACCACTACATTTAGAAAACTTCACGAAATTAAAAGTCATGATCATAACTACGAAACTAGAGGCAGCATAGATTTCCATCTGCAAAATTGTAATATTAGCATAACTAGTAGATCTATATTTCAAATATATAAGCGAATAATTATACAAACTTAACATTGTAGCATTAATGCTAAACAAATCTTCAACAAACAAACAAACAAACATTATCGTGACGAATTCTCGAAGAATAGATGTTTTAAGCTTCTTTTACGTCATTTTCAAGTTGTTTGAGTGTGTTCTTGATGGACTCTGTTGCATGTCTCGTCTACCAAGTTCATCTCAAGGAAGTTCATTTGGATGGAAATCGAAGAACTGAACCGGGAACTCTATGGTTTGTAATGTAGCTTCCTGTTATTTTTTGAACAATTTTTCTCCAGCTTAAATGAGTGTTTCTGTTTATAGCATCACGAGACCTGTTGAAATAAGTCTTCTCCACACGGAAATCTTTTGATGAACAAGAATCTTGTGATATCGTATTTTTTTACATTAAGGTTTCTGCCTATCTTCAGGGCCGGCTACAAGCGGTAAGCAAGTGAGGCAACTGCTTTAGGGCGCAGTGTCATGGAAGACTATGCAAGATTCCCAATCAAGTGCGGATCTAAACCGACCAGGCATTAGCACTCATGCACACGATTTACCCCACTCCCGCTCTTCAGTTATCAGAAAGGCAGTACCACTTAGAAGCACTGATGCAGCTGAGCCAGTTTTTATTAGTGCCGCTTATAAACATGACCTATTACAGAACCTATCGATTTTTAATTAATTCCTCCTGACGTACAAGCAGATTTTGATTCTACATACGACACACGAGACTTTTCGGTCGGTGCTGTCGATAAAAATGTTAGTCTCAGTTAAACAAAGAGCTACAGCCTAGTGACCATGAAAGTCGCCGACAATACAGTCATGCAATATTGCAGCTTGATACCCAAAATAACGATTTTTGCCGACAACTTATAATGAGCTATGAATTGTAGTATCTGGGCATTAGAGAACCCTCGTGTCATCCATCAACGACCACTACATCCTCGTCGAGTCACAGTTTGGGGCGGTGTTTGGAATACAGGTCTCATTGGACCTTACTTCTTAGAAGACGCTGCAGGTACTTCTATTACTGTCACTGGCGAGCGCTACCGTGATATGGTGCAAAACTTTCTGGCTTCCTCAAATCCAACAATTTAACCTGCAAAACATGTGGATCCAGCAGGACGGAGCAACTTGTCACACAGCTAGGGAAACAATGAATCTTTTGCGAACAATATTTCCGGGACGTTTAATTTTTCGATTTGGTGATGTCAACTGGCCACCAAGGTCACCGGATTTAACGGCTTCTGACTTGTTTATGGGGATTATTGAAAAATAGGGTTTATGCCAACAAAGCAAATACTTACGGAAGCGATTAAAAATATTCCTCCCGAAACCTACCAAACAGTGATGGAAAATGTAATCAGGAGGGCTCAGATTTGCACGGCTTCTAGAAGCGGACATTTTTCTGATATTATCTTTCATTCATAATTTCTAAGTTTCGATAAAATATTAAGATAAAAAAAAATGCACGTATTTTATTTCATTTAACAAATATCCAAGATACAAACCAGTCATTACATATCGGCCACCCTATAACTTGCATTGCAAAAGAGTTCACAGTTATTATTTAAGGTACATATCAGACTAAGGAGTAATACAAACAATAATAGTATCTCGAATATTCAATTATTTTTCGCAATATGACCTAGCCTCTGTTATTTCATTTTTATCGACCACCATGGGCCCGGAAACTTTTGAACGGTAGACTTCAAACTAGAAGTGAGTCGTAATCGCCCCTCTGAGCATGCACCCACGCTACCACCACATCCTAAATCTGCTGGATGGACTAGTCATGCTTATACTTATTGTTCCAAATTAGTCATTTTACATACTCTAAAAAATAACACGGCTATGTTTTAGGTACGGGAGCTAAAGAATGTGGAGGAATCCACTAAAAGGTTTTTTAGATACTACTCAAGCTCACACGATCAAGATTGTCGACTACTTTGTAGTTGTAAAAATAGCTCACCATTTGAACCCAAGCAGCTTAAGGATTCACATATAGCCTCGAAAAAAGGCCGATTACCAAGCTCCAAAATAGTATCGGAAAATATCGAGGCCGCCTCAAGCGACCGGTTAGTCAAGTTTCCATCCATGTCACCGCTGTAGACCACAAGCGTCGAAATTAAATTGAAAATGTTTGTCCATAGTTTGTTTCTGAGATAAATTAGCTGAGGAAAATCGTTACCTAGAAAAATATATTTGCGTAGAGGTACGATACAGTACTATCACACGATGTTGCCTAATTACGAGTCGAACTGATCTAGTCCACTGTAAATGAGCATTCTGGACTATCATTGTTGGAAAGAACCAACTGATTACGAAACAAACAAACAAAAATCAGTGCATTTATAATATCATACATCCTGGCTCTCTCGGTTTGTCAGACTTAATGATACTGAAGACAAAAATGCTGAATCACTCCAAAGCTTTTTTGTATAATTGCCACACACCCAATCAGGTTTGGACGTAATCATATTTTGTATGGAGGACCGAAAATTATGTGTTAATTATATAAGCGTTTTCTACACGTTGTATGATGTATGTACTTCTGATCATTTAAGGGCGCGTTTGAAAAAATAAAAATGGAAACATTCTCTAAGCATAGTAAGAATATTTTTAGTACACCCATACATGTGTTTATTAATTCATAGAATTACCTAGTCAATCTACTTGTAGAGCGGATTTCTATTCATACATATACTCAATTACGAGGTTCAGTAGCATTAGAAATAACAGTTTTATATCTCTTCTCTCTGCAGACACTAACCTGATAGAGAATTCATTTCCAGATATAACCTGAATCTGTTTTGCGTAGAACGATTAAAATTGACCACATTATGTAAATTAGTACAACTCAAAAAGAAGAAAAAGTGATACATAAAACATATTAAAATATATACAATTAAAAAAAGAAAGTAAAACCCACCGATGACAGTGACATGTTAAAATGTATAAGATAAAAACTCCTGTACAGAATAAAAGCAGCTCTGGCCTGGATATTCTTTACTTCATGTTTACGCTCATAATAATCGGTGATATCTTTTACATTTTTACAGATCTTTCATACGTTTAGGTATACTTAAAAGCGTACTACATGTTGTGTAGTAACTTCCAATGAGAGAGAAACATTCAGGTTTCTTTTTTACAAGTGTTACACATTTTAATGAATAAATTGATGATAATGTTAGAAATCCGTGTTCTATAAAAGTTTTGACTGTATGACTCGATATAGCTTAAACCAAATATGGGCCTAATAATTTCCTTCTGAGTTAGAAAGACCTTTTTGATACCAGTTGACAGTCTGAAGTGGCAATATTAAATGGCTTAAAATACAATCCTGCTTTAGGACGGGTTTCATTTTGAAAATAGCAACATACGCTTTATTCAGTTTTTGAAAACATGCTCCATCTGACCGGTAAACTTGAGATAAGAATATATTGGATAATACGTTATCAATGGTAGGGTTCGGCAGAAATGGAAGATTCATTAGAAACAAAGTCGCTGGTAGTAACAAAACCTTTACTAAATCCATTAACGAAAAAGAACGGTTTTTTGTGATGACTATAGTGATACTGTAAGTTTGGAAATGAATACAGAAACCGAAACCAGCAATCTCTTTAATCTCTCCTAATCACCGGAGGCCGAAAACAGATTTTAATTGTGATTTGAACAGGTAAACATCTTCTTAGTTGACATAAATTACATCCCGATTTGTAGTACATCAAACCAAACTTCATGGTACATTAATTGTAATCGCTGATTCAAATCATTCTAACAATGACGCAATTTGTACTAATGCTTTGGAATATTATATATATATACGAGGAAATATCATTACTGTACGATTATTTTTATTTGGAAATCATTTTGCTTAGAAAGATGCATAATATGATAGCTGCGTTATTTTTGTTCTCACTGTGTTATGTACATGTAAGTAGTATTGATGGTTTTGTTGATTTTTTTATACATTAGTCAAAAAGGCCACGCTATAGCTGTCCATCAATTTTTTTGTATTGTTATATGTATACGCCGTAGAAAATGACATTTCACTAGTAAGAAAGTTTGAATAAAGGTGTTCTTAATACAAAACACATTTTAAACGAAAAGTAAAAAGAAACATTTCTATAATCGAAACGAGCAAATTGAAGAAGAATTAACACTGAACATACCATAATATTGAAAATGAGCTTATCATCTTATCGAGTATGCACATTTGGATTCATGATTTTTTCTATCAGTTATATACAGTTAATATTCTATTATTTATTTAATTTGTATTTTGTTTATTTTGAGTAATATTTGTTATAAGTATATTTGACAAGTTATGGTAAAATAGTTATATAGACTTATGTATAAAGTTTTGGTATGTTTAATGTTAATGATTATAGTTTCTGTTTTCGCTTTCCACGCCAATAGATGAAGTGGTTGGCGACACATACGTTTTAAAAATGCATGTATCATTAACTTCTGTCGATCTGGCTGTCGCCGCTCTACTCTAGACTAGTCAGTAATCTACGATTTCGTTGATATTCTCTTACAGGCAGTCAAGCATATAACATCTTTACACCTGTTAAAAATCAGTCCAGTGAGTAGCAGTAGGTTACCACTATTACAGAAACGACAAGTTATTTGATAGCCAAATTAAAACCGTCGATACTTTTTTGCGTCAGGGGTTAAAAACATAGAGAAAAAAGGATCTAATTTGAATGCCGACAGATTTTAATCAAAATACCTAGTTAGTAATCTACAAATCGTATTCGGTAACTTTGGATTGCTCACCGCCACGTTTCCTCCCCTCCCCCATAGACAGATTAACAGATTTCCATCAAATATAGCTTAGCTAAGAACCATGTTGTGACAAAACTGTCAATTGAAAAAAACGGTACCCAAATCGGTTCATTCTTTGCGGAGCTACAATACCACAGACAGACAGGCAGACACATACATTTACAACTATACATGTTAAACTTATAACACCCTTTTTTGCGTCAGACCGGAGGTTAAACATTATTTGTAGCAATTAAAAATCAATGCATATTAGGAGTTATTGCGTTTTTGAAGAATAAACAGGTCGGAAATAGGTGGAATTTGGTAATCAAGAACATTAAGAATCTAAATAATCAACTTCCATTATTTTCAGAACATTCAGGCTAAGGTGACAATTCACAGATTCGAAGATTGTGAAAAAGGCAAAGATTATTCCTTGTCAGTGGACATGAAGATCAAGCATGATGGTGATAAAAATATAGTAGAAGAAGGAACAATAACCAATAAAATAGACTTCACTAAAGATATCAAGGTAATTCTGTGAAGTATGTGATGTATCACTGAATGTTTTTTCTGTTATTTTCTGTATTTCTGTACATGTTCGAATTTATATGGAATTTTTGAGCATATCGTCGAAGGGTACTAGAAGTATGTCGCATAAGCCAAATACAAGAAAGTCCGATCGGATGCACAATATGTGTCTCGATGAATCATATTTTTATACAGGGTGTCCGCAAAGTTGGGGTTTTCCTTTACACGACGTGTAGATCTTGAAAACATAAGCAATTTTTATTAGTACCATATACACCAATGTCTTAAGGGAACCGAGATAAAGGGCTCTGCAACATCAAAAATATCTGAATACCGTCCTGTAGCCGCGACATCCCCAAGTGGTACTAGGACACTAGCTCAACCCGACGACAGAACTGGGTCGGGGTCAGTGTGTCAGGTCAGTATGCAACCTTCAACCGACGGTTACGGTCACGCGTGTAGAGGTAAACGAACCCGTATAATCGATTGCGTTTCAAAAAACAACAAGCACTAGAGACGTGGCTAGAGAAGTGCAAGTATCAAAAACTAAAGTGTGGCAAACGCTGCGTGATGAGGGGCTGTATCCGTTTCACGTACAACGTGTACAAGCCCTTCAACCTGACGATTTTCCAGCAAGAGTGCGGTTATGTGAGTGGTTGTTGCATCAACATGACAATAATCCGGACTTTTTGAAGTGCATATTGGTGACAGACGAATCTACGTTCACGCGTAATGGGGTGAATAACTTTCGCACGACTCATATTTGGTCAGTAGAAAATCCGCACGCTGTCCGTCGGGCACATTTTAAACAAACATTTTCGGTGAATGTTTGGGCTGGCATGATGAACGGTATGCTCATTGGATCACTTATTCTCCCAAATCGATTGGACGGGATGCAATACCTAGACTTTTTACGCAACATTTTGCCTTCCTTGTTTGCCTGCGTCTGCTCGGTAGCGCATCAGCTGATTTCATTTTCTGTTGGAGCGGAATGATTTCGGGCAGAGACGTACTTAGCTCTTCTCGTCAACTGGAGAGTGAGTACTTTTTCCTTTATTTTTTTTTTACTTGGTCGCCCTCGTTTCACTACACATTACCTTTGTTATTTCAAGGGTAGTTGTTTCTGAAAAGGAAAACCCCAACTTTGCGGACACCCTGTATAGCCAGAATTCAAAACTGAATAATCACACAATAGCGGTGAAAGAAATAGTCAAACCTAACCATCGTTAACCCTTGGAAACTGTTGTACGATTTTTTTAAATTTCAATATTTGTCATTAAAATCTGCCATAATTCTACGTCAAGGCGGTTCTCGAAGTTTTCTCTGAGGAAGGAGGTCAATGGAAACAACTGGCTAAGAAAGAAGACGATCTGTGTAATATAAGAGAAACTTTCATTGGAGAATTTGCAGAAGAAGTGGAAAAAGCTGCTGGAATCACAGACACGTGCTTAATAAAGAAGGTAGGTACTGCGCTTTATGAAAAATCCTTCATCATTTTTTTGCTATCATGTGTGTTAACCTATTGTTTGATTCTACTTTCCACACCACAGATGAGGGAAATATTGTAATCACGTAAATTCAATATGTAACTTTTGGACGTTCATCTATTCATCATAAAAATGCTCGCAATTCATTCTCCTAGACGACATTTTAAGTACATCCCATGACATTTTTAACAACTCCTGCTGGTTAAACACTCAATGAAAGGCTTTTATTATTTTCACGACGCATTCAGAACGATACCTTGTTGACTGACAAAATAATAATTTCATTGATGTTTCAGGGTGAATACAAGTTATCGAACTTCGTAGCAGATTTTACCAAAGTCAAATATACTGATTTCCCCGAAGGCAAAGTAAAAGTCCGTACTGAGATGCACAAGGATGCAGACATAGTGGGATGCTTAGAAGTTGAATTTACACTTCAAAAATAATGTTAGGAATAATAATACAGTAAATAAAGATGCTAATCTGAGAACAAGTTTGTTTGTGTGTTTAAAATGTGAAAGTTATTACAACTGAAAACATAAATTCTTTCATCAACGAAAGTGGATAGCACCCAAGTGATAGCTACTTGACACGAGCTCTGAGGTCCAGCCTCATACTCTATACAGTATATTCACTGCATCAAAGCAGTTACGTCAAATAATGACAGTGAAGCACATGGTTGCCACATTAATTAAAACTACTAGATCCTAGGACGTTTTACAAAATCTACTTTATGTGTTCGATGCCTTACCTTCGATGCTTAAAAGGACTTTTCATTAGATAACAATTCAAATATTGAGGCAAAAGGAATGAAAATATATCACAAATAAACAACAGCCGTTGACGTAATTATTCTACCTGACAAGCATTACGACAATGTCACAACACAGAACCAATTTAGGATCTATTTTGCATTATGGTTGGCATTCAAATTTACTAAATATGACGTAACAGCTTTGTTTCAGTGAAATGACTAAATGTTCAGTTTGCTAATTTTCTTATACAAAAAATTATCGGAGACTTTAATACTTACTGTATATTCTGGAGTCTAGTAAAGAAAGCAGACAGTTGAAGCAGTCCTTGGTGTGCAAAATGGTTCCTAAGCTTGCTGGATTGTAAGACGATAACCTTGAGAGAACAGAACACACTATTGTGTTCATTTCTAAAATATCACAATATAACGATAATGCCCTTGTGTTGGAGATCGACATAGTCGGGTTACATAATGCTCTGAAAAAGTATGTTGAGTGTAAGAAATTTTAAGGTCTAGCACAAAGCGCCATCTATTGATTGCCACAATTAACCACTGCGAGAGTGAAAATACCGCAAGCTATCTTTTGGAACTGAATCCCAGTTCACATTGTCAGCCAGGTAACTACTGTGACCGCTAGATGCCGCCGATTCTGATGCTATAGAAGATACGGTCTAATCGAAATTAAACAAGCAGCTTTCGTTCGTTCGACCACAGACGGCCAACCATGTACATCGGTTTCGTGCTATTTGGCAACTCCTCAGCAATGTCTAGATTTGGTTTCAGGCAAGACAATGAAATAAAGCTGAGCAACTATCCTCTCTCAACCCAGAGTATAAGCTATATCGAAAGAAGAGAGCATAAAGTGTCATCAGTTACCAGAGTCGATCACTGCGAGAGTGAAAATACAGCAAGCTGTCTGTTGAAACTGTACCCAGTTTGCATTGTCAGCCGGGTCACCAGCGAGACCGCTAGAAACAAACTGGATATATTTTCAATAGACAGCTTGCTGTATTTTCACTCTTGCAGTGGTCGATTCTGGTAACAGATGGCACTGTGTTCTATCTTATTCAAACATACCTCATATTCTGGATTGAGGAAATTTGCTCAGCTTTCGTTCGTTGTCTTACCTGAGGTCATGCCTAGACCATGCTGAGGAGTTGCCAAATACCACGAAACAGCTGTCCATGGTTGGCCGTCTGTGGTGCGACGAACGCAAGCTATATTACTAAATGTCAATCACAGAGTGTCGGCCTTCATGCCACATGCATAAATTGATATCTAAAACAGTTTCAATACCTGAACAGTAACTTCACTAGACCGTGTTCCTGCAGTTTCGAGCTGACATATTCAGAGTTTAGACTCAACATATTCAAAAGTATACATCCGAAGGCTTTTAAAAGTGCTGGAGTTGTAACTATTTCTTTACCACTACGACTACTCGATGATTCCCACGAGCATTCTGAGCCTGACAACCGTCTCATATAAGACCAAGCTGTGAATGAATAAAGGGTGTGATTAGTCAGATTTATTTCAGGGAACCTCATTATGTTACCTTCAGATTTGTTGGATTTCCGACAGTTTTCTATAAAAGTTAAAGTATATAAATTGCTTAGTACAATATCCAGATTGCTGTACAAGTTGAATTCGTCCATAGTATTGAAGAAGTCCATGGTAAAGCTCTAAAATGCAAATCATTCTATTCTTATTATCATTATTTTCATGAATATCTCGAGATGTATTCTAATGCAGACATAACAAAAAAAATAATACGTGTAAAACGAGCGTATGTTATTCAATATTTGATACTATTATTTCATTACCTTTTTCAATGAGATTAGGCTTACTGACGACGCCCTTTCATTAATCAAAGGTGCTGAATGACTAATAAGATTAGCTACAAATTGTGCAGCATTTTCTCTAACAATACTTGCTTCAATATGGTTTATCAGTATTTCGAATACAGCTCCTAGTTTCACCTCTAAAACAACGAGTAATTAATTAGTCTATACAAAGAAAATTAAGATATGCTTGAAGGTTTCCTGTGTTTTGCGTTGGGTGTTCAAGAGTTAGTAACTTAAGCTAGCGCATTCCTGGCATACTAACGCAATGCCGTTTGTAGTGGAAAATTGAACAACTGGATAACGGTTACTTCGTCTTTCAAGACATTTATAATTGACAACCTTTAAAATGAAACGGCCCATTATGCCCAATATCAGAGGCAGTTACTAAGTGAATTTTGTAGCACTATGTCTCATGCTGCAATGTATGTAACATTTGTTATTTTTACTTAAATCCTAAAGATACCAACAAAACAAAAGTAAAAATAGATTTCCATACAGTGCTTTTCAAAAAGGTCCCCCCTACTAATTTTTTGAACTGGTCAGGTTAGCAATCTGAAATTCGGGTGATGAAATCAATACATGAATACTATTGTAACACCCTGTATAGGTGGTAGGTCACATACAGGGGTGCGGTTGTAAAACACTTGGTAATGTAATACCGTACACAGTAATGAAATATAGATTGACAGATGAGATTTTACTCTGGAATACTGTCTAAATTATTTCAGTCATGTGATGACACTTGATGACAGCGGACTAACTTCTAAACTCGTTTTCTGCAACCATTGTATTTATTATATGAAACGCTATAGATACGAGGTAGCCCATTTATCCTGAAAAATATATATTCTGTCAATTTTGAGCACTTTTTGATAATCAAATAAAGTAACCAAACATTGCCTGAGAATGGCAAGTGACAACACTCATTCCTAAGGTTTTCAGCGTGGGAAGACAAGCGCACTTATGCCGTTCCAGAAGGATTACATTGTTCTATTTCAGAACGTATGGAGCAGGTACGTTAAACAGTTACGAACCCTAAAATTGTTACAGAGTAGTACAAAGTACAATCTGTAAGAATTTACGAACGCAGCCCTGCTAGTGTGTAAATTTTTGTTTTTTTGAGTTCTGTGTCACATGCTGTCAAATTGTAGGTTAGGTATGTTGTCAGTTACGGACAGGTATCAGGTTGGCGGCGGGGCTTATATATAAGATAACAGTGGTTTTGGACCAGGACCAGGAACAATATATAGGTAAAAGGACTTGAAACTCTTAATTTTTCGAAAACAAGAGTTTCAAGAGAACCTAGCAGACCCTCTATCGATGATCGCCTAGCGACATCGATAGAATGTGCGAGGTAAAGGGAACCAACCCGGCGTTCCCAGAGACTGAAACACATGAGGAGACGTTGTAGCAGACCGCAGGTCACGCACAACACATGGCCTACCGAGACGCTGATGAGTCGGGCCACGCGGAGGTTAGGGTTTAGTGGGTATTAGGTGGTCTCCTCAAGACAACCTGGAGTCCCACACACGCCGTAGCTCGGGCTATGGTATGGTGCATAAACGCATTCCCCTCTCACAAAAAAAAAATGTAATTCTTACCATTTACTATTTCGATGACAGCTCTTGGCGACGTGGCTAAGCTAGCAAATAACTGCAATGCAGCCGCTCTGAGCACTACGTCTCTACTGGCCCATAATGCCACTAAGTTTCTCAAGATGGAGCCTGAATCTACATCGTTCAGGAAGCACAATTCCCACCTATATTTATGAAATGTGATCAGAGCACTCCAACAAATTAAACATAATCAAGTTGGTAACTAAGAAGATGGTACTTCCGGAGATGAATGGAAAAAACGATTTTCTTCAATAGTTTTTATTTATTCCTGGCTTGATTTGAGATGGGATTTTAAAATACAACATTTTTCTACTCTACAGGATGGCATAATTGGAATTTCAATATGATGTTTCGTCTTTTGTCCTCAATAATGAATTTTATTCCTTCCTATAAACACCATATTGGACTTTTCACAGTTTAGGTTTTCAATAGTTAAAAAATGTATATGTTTTGTTTGTTTAAGATTTATTTATACATTGATAATTTTTTAATAAGAATTGAAAACTATTTAACTGTGAAAAAATCCACTATGATGTTTATAAGAAGTAATAAAGTTGATGATTGAGAACAAGAGACGAAACGTTATACTGAAATTCTAATTATGCCATCCTGTAGAGAAAAAATAGTGGGAATGTTATTGTAATCTAATCTCTAGAAATAGTCGGAATTGCGAAACTTTCTCTGTGCCATTTTCTTAGTTACCTGAATTCGCAACTTTGCCACTATTTAACCGACTTCATATCTCTTACCGTTTCCGAGTAGACAATGATAAGGGTCGAATTTGAAACACCTGGTTTATCAATGTTGCTACGTTAAATCTCAAGTTTATATGGTGTTAAAAATAGCACAAGCTATGAAAGATGATTTACTATTCCATTAACGTATGTGAGAATACACCACATTTGAAGATCTTAATGCCATACAATAACTCACCCTTTGGCCTTTCCATTCAACATTTCCGCCACTAAGTGGTTCAAGACAAGCACAACGTTTCTGGTGATGCTCAACCCCATCACAGATACTGCCGCAGATGGTCCTTTTCCGGTGTGAAAGGCGTTCACCAAATCACACAAACTAGCTACCAGATCTGGTATCGGCGGTTTGACAGGTGTATTAGGTTTACTTTCGCTCCAACCAAGATTGGCAGTCAGGTGGACCAAACAAGAGAGCAATGAGTCCAAGTATGCTAAAAAGATGACATAATGTGTTTGATTATCAAAGGCGAACTGTCAAGTCTTGTAGTGAGTCACTAGGTGCACCTAATTTCTACATCTTTGGCCACGTGTTATCTCCCTTACGTCATCACATCGATTAAAAAGTATTTATACGCCTGAGGTCGTTCTAGTATTACACAACCAGATTTTTTACAATTATTAGCCCCCATCTCCCCCTCATCAGCAAATGTAAGCAAACCTCTTAACCCTTCTCATGCTTACCTAACCATTTTGGTATATTCTACAATTTGAAACAAGTATTGGCTTTCACGCACATTTTCTGAATTGCTAATACATTTCCTACAAACGTTCATTCCAATGAGAGTCAAAATAGTTATGTGGCAGTTCCCGACTAAGCGAAGCCCTTTTGCGCTCTCTCGATTATACGCATTGGCTACCACAATCTTAGTACCTAAGGTTCTAAGCAAGTAGGCATATCCATATTTGAGGAATCATTGAAGATGCGTTTCGCTTTCAAGCAGGGTTGCCATATGTGTTCAAATCAAAATCGACTAAATATTGTAGAGAATCCGAAAAAAAAAATAAAAAAATAAATACTGCTGACGTAATCACCATTAACACACCTCCAACCCCCATGGCATCAAAAATAAGTAAAGCAAATCCGCCCGCCCCCTTCACTGCTTTCGTAATACTTGAATGGTCCCCTGTAACTATATTAAATCAGTTTCACAACACAAGCATATTTTAATCTCCTTTGGTATGGTAAGATCACACTGTATAATATATTGTTATTTGAAGCTTGTTAGGTATTGCAAGTAATATAATTCCCTGGAAATGCTGCGATATTCAGAGGAATGACCGAGGTACCTTGCAGTACCTATCAATATATACATTTTTAGACAGAATAAAGTTAATCATGCTGAAATCAAGTTGTGTTACAAAGAGCAATGCAAATGCCCGAAATAGATAAATCTAATACACTCCGATGATGTTTTAGAAGAAAAAACATCTAAATGTTCTTGGCGTAAATGTATCAAAGACCTATATGCATTATGTTGTTACCTAGATTATAAAAATGTTGTGCATCACTGAACTTCAGATTCCCAACGATGGTCTTGATTACATGCGTCCACATTTTTGTTTCAGTCACCATCCCATTATCGGGTGTATAATAGTCCAGATAGTGCTGTTCTTGTATAGTACAAACTGTAATGAGTTTTAGCATTTCTTGCCCTACAGTTTTAGTCTCTTCTTCAGTATTGCTATCGACAATCAATAAGTCTAACAAGCACTGGCTAGGATCTTTTAAAAATGATACAATCCAGCAATGCTTTCCTGAAAGAATATGAAAGTATGGCGAATTTATAAATAACATAACAGAGACAGATACTGACTTACCTGCAGCATTATAAATGGGGACCAATAAAGCAAAAAAATTTGTTATATTTTTCAAGAGAACTGCATCCTCTACACATGAAGGCAACGCCTTTATAAACCTGACAAATGACATTTCCCATGGGTGTGATAAAAAACTGTCATGATTCATATCCTTATGGAGCATTGTTGTTAACTTGTAGAGCATCACATATCTGTAAAAAATTAAATACTCAGGGCTTGTGCTATTCTGAAATTCTAAATAAACTTACAAGGTAAGGTTTTCCACTGATTCTAAAACAACAGAATGCGAAGTGCCATTTTGAATGGTGTTCAAATAAAATTTGATACAATAGTCAATAGAAGACAGTTTGATAGTTTTCAGTTCATAGTTATTTAGTTTGAGATCTTCTTCAATATTATATAATGAATGGTCATCATAGTTGACAGATTCCCATTTCACAAGCTCTTGAAAACCTCCAAATACTTCACAATTCCATTGTACCCTGACACAGCTCAAACACCATCTATCGTTCATAACCAGATCTAAAAAATACCAACATATATTAAATTCAGTTCTGTTCTATTTTGAATGAAAGAGAGCTACCATAAAAAACGTCAGTATGAAAAGATAGAATAGGTATAACCTCACCTCTTAAATTTTCTTTTGTATATGGACTCTCTTTCCAATGGACAGCACATTGAAAAGGTATCATCAACTTTTCAGTGATAAAGCTAGGGAATGAAAAATCTCCATTTGAAGGACTTCCCCTGAGAAAATGTTTGAAAATCATGATAAATAGTAATGAAACTGCGTCTTGCTTCAATCTATCTTCTGTGAAAAATAGAAATAGCCCTAAAAATATAAATACATGGGACCGTTTTACCAACACACTTATGAAGTACAATCATACCTCTCAAAACACAATAAAATACATCTATATTGTTGCCAATTTCTTCTCTAACACTTTCATGATACAAACACAAATTCTTCAGCACTGATATGATAGGTATGATAGAGTCGGGATAATCCCTGTAGTCGTTGTCTGTCAGAGCTGTCTTCATAATTTCAATAATAATCTCGAGACCATTTGAGTTCAGGAAAATTTGATGGAGTAACGGATCTTCTAGCATCACGCTTACTTGGTTCAATGCTGATCGTCTGATCACAGGTTCTATGTTTGAAGAACTCAATACGTCCATGACTTGTTGTAGGCTGCTGGGCTGTGCGGGCGTCAACAATAATAAAATGATTATAATAAATTGTGTCACAATACGTAGTTCGTTGATTTTGTTTTTAAACGCTACCAAAGACAAAGGCGCGGCTTAATTTCACCAGTAATTTAATTTTTTAGTTCCAGTCATCAATCGCCTGCAGATTGTTTTAATACACTTAGCTTAAGCAACCCCTATAAAAAACGTCAAGGGTGTAAGATTACATGACCTCTCATAAACCGGACATCGCCATCCGAGAAATTCCAAAGCTTTTCTCGCGGTATGACACGTCGTTACCATTATTTAAAGAACATATTTTAAAAAGTCCATATTTGTGTTAATTAACACAATCGTACTTGTCATGAAAGAATCTTAGTGAGGTTTCCTAGTAAGTTCGCACAACTCTGAGGCATTTCTCCATAGTAAAATTGTCCATAATTAAGTGTAATGACACATACGCAGTATAAAATGTCTAAGTCGTTGAAGAAAAATTAAATTCCGAAGCATTTTTTGGAACACCCATTTGTGTCTCGTGTCTAGTTTTGTAAGTTGCAGTCATGAGGTTATTTTATCATCGACAAAGATTTGTGTAATCTTGCAGCGTTTTTTCATAATCGCAAAATCATTACGAAACAATGTGTGACCATATGGTTTCTTTCACTGAGGTCCAGCAACGTTAGAACGCACCTGATAAAAATGCTCACTCCTCCTCAACTTATTCACATCAATGATCCTCTTCAACCTGCATATATTCGCCAAGGACGGATCGTACAAACTAGAAAACTTCGGCAACAGCGCTCTGGCGTTCTCTTGCGATGACAGCAACCAGCATATCCTAGAGAACCCCTCGTCACGCAAGTACGCATCTTCAGAGAACAGTAACTGCAGGTTGCTCTTCAGTATGGACAGTTGAGGAAGGAACAAGGCTTTCGCTGTATCGGGGTCGGTAATATTGAGGAAGGTTTTGCCCAGCATGGTGATTCTCTTGCAATGACAGGCGATTACTGGTAGGGATGGTATCAGCGCTTGAATGACCCGGTTCCATACGGTGTCCGATACAAGAATCTTGCATTTGAGTATGTAGGATATAATGTCTTCTGAATACTGCTGTATCTGTAAAAAGAAGATATAAGTTCCGTAGTTGCAATGGGAAGCGAGAGATTTCATTCAGCACAAAATAATATTACGCACATTCGTAGTCCATAAATACGAGTTTGCCCAGGTGACAAGATAAAGGTATGCTTAGTTACTCTGGAAATGATATACCACTATGAATATATTATTTCAAAAATATCCAAAATGATAAATTACTTTTATAGAATCATGCATAGTCTAAGCGCCTATTCTAAAAAAATGCGTACATCATCATTCTTCCTCATTTGTTATATTGTTCGACTATTTTGTTCAATGCAAATGAAACTGTATCTTCAAAATTACAAATATTACAAAATAAAGCTATGAGAACCATCTTGAATAAAAACAAATATACCAGAATAAATTTTATGCTGAAAGAAGGGACCTGGGACCTCGGTTGGCCGCGTGGGTCAGAGTGTCGTGCTACTGATCAGCCGGCCGGCCGGGCCGCGAGTTCGAATCTCGCCTTCGCCATGGATGTTGTGTGTTTGTTTTAGGCAGCAGCGGTGGCCGCAGTAGTAGACTCTTCGGTCTCCTGATCAGCCGCCGTGCGCTGTGCGGGTTCGAGTCCCGTCCCATGAGAAATGTTTCTCTTGGCCATGGATGTTGTGATTATCCGTAGGTGGTAGATGGTCTCTGACTGTCGAACGCGGAGGTACCACCCGGCGGTTCTCGTAGGCGGAGCCAGAATGTGTGCATGTTGCATGCACACGTGTTCCCTCGCCAGAGTCCGTGTGGCGTCCCCCCCTTTCCCATGTATCCCCCATAGCCCCACGGTACCCAATGGGTGCTTAGGCCTTAGGCATTCGTGGTAGTTGGAGTATAAAAAAAAAATTACAATGGTGAAATATCAAAAATTTCATAACCTACTTGGTTTTCATTTTCATATTAAAGTTAAAAAATCATCTTTTACCACATCACTTAGAAAACTTTGTATTGAAGAATGAATACTACCGTTATTCTACTAGAGAGAGTACAGACTTTCATTCACAAAATTGTAGTAGCAATGTAACGAGCAAGTCAGTATTTCAAAAGGGATTGTACGAATTTAATAAATTAAGTAATAATATCAAGATGTGTGCCAGTTTGAAAATGTTTAAGGGGAAATTGAAAAAATATCTCATGGAAAACCAGAAGCAATAGTAGTGCAATTTTGTATAAAAATATGTAGTCTTGAAGACATAATATATTATATGATATACTGTGTAATATGGATATTATGGATATTGTAGCATTAATGCTAAATAAATCTAAAACAACAACAACTGAATATACTGGCAGAACACAACAATTGGACTTTGGAGTAGCAACCAAGGCAGTGTAAGAGCGGATGCGCTGGCAAGAAAAGAAATATCCACCAACTCTCAGCCCCTAAACCTGCCCAGAGGATCAACAATCAGAAAGAGGAACCATGTCAAAGGATGGAAAAGACAACATCACAAAGAATATTCGAACTTAGTGTCTGAATGCACACATAGGAAAGTTAGATAGATAGATAAATATGCTTTTTTGTCTCAGAACTCAACTATTACGTAATTACATATGTGGATCTTAAGTAGATGAACTGTAGAACTCACTCGTGGTATAATATGGTTTACATATAAAGGGTTTCAAGTTCACGGCGAAATATCTTTAAATTCTTCATTCTTTTGATTGTATCAGGAAGACACATGTAAATTTTCAAACCATTATAGATGATTGAGTCTTTTATAAGTGTTGATTTAGGTCAGTGGTCGAGAAACCTTTCCAGTCTGTTGAGCTACTTTGATAATTTTGGCATAAACAGTGAGCTACCTAGTCGTAAGCAAAGTAGGTCCTTTGTGACGTTCAGTTTTAAGCTAAGCGAACTGTCGCCGCGCCTTGCGTATTTATTCTGAGCAAAGTAATCGAGATCGTTCTCGAACAGATCGCTCACCGCAGTGTTGCTGCTGCTTGTGTTTATTATGAGAATTTACAAAATTTACGGAAGTTCCTATAATATCTGCACCTTTTTAAAATATGATGTTGCCTTTACGAGCTACCGGTCGCTTGCCATCGATTATAGGAAAATTCAGTTCAATTAGCCTCAATATGAGTAGATATGTTTTGCGGATAAAGCGAAATCTTTGGAAAAAATATCGTATCTCAAATCAAAATATTCCTTTGTATTGGTGATTAATCCCATACACAGCAGGTCTGTTTCGTCAACTTCATCAATTTTTGCGGTAACTATATTCACATTTCAAACATTTTAAACAGAGATTTGAAATACTCGACAGTAGAATTCTTAAGATCTAAGTACATTTTACATTAGAATATCCACCTTAAGCAGATTACTTTTCTTCAGTTCACATGTCTGTTTTTGTTCCACTCAAGTTTTAAAATGCATTTGGTGTAGCTAAAATATCGAAATTATAATGCCTCCCTCAATCGTTTATACATATGGTACAACTGTGCTCAATTTCACCACAAATTGATAAATGTTTTGATTCAGGTCATTAATCGTCTACGGATTCTTTTGATAGAAGTCGTAAGTCGGCGGACATCACCATTGCGAAAAATGCTGCGAACAGGCATGTCGCCCTTCCAACAATGGCTTCTACTTTCCATAGTACAAAAAAAACTTCAATGTCTACGCGGACTTACTGCTTTAACCAATTAGGCAAATAAGTATTTAAGGACTAAATACAGATTTTGCACCCACCAACAAATAACAGTAAATATTATAAAGATATATGTCAGTATGTAGTAAAATAAATGCATCTTGGTATACAGTACAAATAACAAAAATGTTTATTACCTCTGGCTTTTCTTCATTCATACCAAATGCCGCAATTTCCGTCAGAATTTTTGACGTTAACAAAAACAAAATTTGTGATCCTGGTTCACCATCAATAGACATACTAAGTTTTGGACCAACGGTTGTAACAACTTTTCTATGGCACGTCTTGTACGTTTCTTCTCTGATTTCTTGCATATGGTGAGACAACAGACTTAATACTGCTTCTGTGTAAAAAATCTTCATTATTGACTAAAACATATGTCTATAATGCATAATGTTACCTTCAACCATGGACAATTTTACAGGATCCTCAGCCAGAAAAATGTTGTTTGCGCAGAAATCTATAAATCCTTTAATAAAATCCATATCTTTATGAAACTCCAAGCTAGGTATGGACTCAAGAGCTAACTTGATGTTATTACAGACATTGGAATCTTTATGATGTTTCAAAAATTGCACAGTGCTTGTCATGCCTTCACAAATCCTTTTGACATCTTTGTATTTCTTTAGATACAGTGCCTCACACTCACCCGTAAAACACTACAAAATACTGCATTAGTTGAGATTTTAAGATTACATATTTAATCTATTTCAAAAGCCTAAAACCTAAACGACTGAACAATATATTCTCATTGTGAAAAAGTCCGTCTATGAATTAGAGAAACACTATAATTAATACTTAGTATTTCTAAATTCCGTATAATTAATAGTTGATATTTATATATTCCATTGTTCCATTTACCTCCACATAGCTAAGTATCAGAACGTGGACCTCGGGATAGAGCCTGGCAAATGTTACATCCAATAAGCAATTCGACAGTGCTAGTTTGAGCACTCTCGGTAGGACTAAGGCAATCTTTGGTTTCGGCACTAATTTCTCTACAAGTCGTGTAGCATGATGAACTAAATATAGGTAAATACTTCTATATTTCAAGTTCGTTTCGCACGTAGCTGATTCTAACCTTTGACAAGAAATCAATATATCAAAACCTAACGGAAACGATTCTATTCGACTTTGTATGAAAGAACGGTCTGTACGTCTTTTGCTCTTGATTAAATTCCGAGGGACAATGTGTGTGACAGGTTTGGTTGTCCATATATCACATACAGTTCGTAAGAAAGGATGAAAAAGAAATAAGGAAGAAAGTGAGTAGATTGGAAATTTACACTAGAGTCTTGTTGGAAGCTTTGGTTGGTCCTAAGATAGCATGTTAAAATATAACAATAGTTTAAATATAGTTGTTCAAACACCAGAGCACATATCTTAAGAAATATTTTCATTTTTATAGGAATGGCAGTGCTTAATAACTACTTAGCTACTACTACGAGTTCCCCAGGGGTCTAACTTGGGACCTTTATTATTTTTATTCTTTATTAATAATTTGCCGCTTGAGATTAAATGTTATTATTTATTTTTCACTGATGATTTAAAAATGTTCTAAATAATTTTGTAATTATCAATTCATGGTCTTCCAGAAACCTCCTCACACTAAACGTGTCAAAGTGTAAAATAGTAATTTATTGTAGGAAACAAAATGTTATGTTTCATGATGACTACAGTATTAATGGTAAGGTTAGAAAGGAGTAACAGTTATAAAGACCTAGTTGTTACATTTGATACCAACTTCACTTCTAATGATCACATAAATAACATTACATTGTCTGCTTCCCGAATGCTAGGGTACTGTGTTAGAAACTGATCAGGTTTCTCGAATAGTGAAACCATCAACATACGTCAGAAGCAAGCTTGAATATGCACCCCTTATCTGAGCACCTATTTATCAAAGCTCTATTAGCAGATTGAAATCTATTCAACAATGAGCTGTAAACTATATTCTTTCAATTGCAATGGTGTCTATCCACAAAGAGGGTTCGATCATAATGTATTATGGTATTAGAACACGCATTAATAATTTATTGTAGCAGATGTTGTACAAACAACTGTCGAAAACAAAATACCAGGAAGTTTTTGTTTTTTCATACCGATAAGAATGTGTAAATCAGGTTTAATCTGTATCGTGGGTGATCTGAATGAAGAACGGTCGATTTTTGTGAAGTTAAATAAGAAAGTATTTTGCGAGTTTATGTTTTTAGTTATTCATTAATAAAAATGGCACATGGATACACTAATTAGGAGTTGGTGACATTGTTTTAGCAGGGAAAAATTCGCGAGCAACTTCTCGTTTGTATGCACACCGAATTCCGGCTACGCACATACCACATCACGAAACATTTAGTTCAATTGTTTTACGTGCACGTGCTAGTGGAGATTTGCGCCTAAGCTTACATTACTGTCAATGGGAAGAATTTTGAACAGCTTTTATAAGAAAGTGAAGTGCTAAACTGTATTATTTTATTATCTCGATTTCTATAGGACTTATTACATTTTTTTTTTTTGAGAAATCAGCTTCTTTCGTAACAGTACATGTGGTTGAAATTTGTCGGATAAGTTGTTAAACATCCTGTATATTTCAAGTGACATAGGTTTTAATATCCCTCGCTTAGGTAATCGTTGTTGTCCTACATTTTACTGTGATTTTTGCAAGACCAATGTTTTATTCAAGTCTCCCGTTCAATAGTATTAGTAACTGCGATATATTTAATGACACTAAATCACGCGTCATCGAACATCACCTTGATAGATTTGTAAGGGAGTATATTTTTACTGATTACTTATATACTGTTATTCTTATCTATGTATTTGTTTACTGTGGTTAATTGATATTTATTGATGCAATTGGGTGTATCTGCCTGTTTGAAATATCATCATTATTCTTATTATTATTATTAATGCCATGGTCAGACAGCTTACCTAAAGTATTCCAGTGCTTCCCCATATTTACTAAAAATATCGTTCAGACATCTCAATACCGACCGCGTCATTTCAGTTTGTGTTTGGTCCCAAATGTTTACCCTGATTATGATAAAAATTAATTCTAATACCTCTTCAAGGAGATTTATCGACATATTCACTATATTCTACAAAAAAATAATTGTATAAGCATAGCAAAATAATTATAAATTTAGACTCACCTGGCTCACGTTGATTTTTTCATCGTCCAAAGATGTATGCTTAATGCACAAGAGATCGAAAATAACTCTTATGGTGTTGAAACAAAACTCTGGGGTTGAAAGTTGTTTTTTCTGCAAAGCATTAATTTCGTCCAATGACTCAAACTTATCCCGCCGATTTGAGAAGTCTGTATTCACGCTGGAAGTGGAAGTGTGAGGTGCAGAACCGGCCTCGTATAATTGCTGGAATATTAAATCAGATAAAAACAAATGAAACATCAAATCTCCACAAAAAAAGAAAAGACTATACTGTAACTATCTAAAACTGTAATGAATCATACGCGTGATTAAATCATGTATAAAGTATAAAGTTTTGATTCATTTCTTTATTACAATAAAATAATTTTTGTATTATGCTCACAAGATCTCATTCATTTATTATAATAATCGTGAGTAAAATGGTTTATGAATTTTTGGCCTGGTTTTAAGGAGAAAGCTTCCATACAGTGATCTGCTCGAATAAATAAAATATTTAATAACCACGATCGTTCTAATTTAACTGCGTACGCTGCCTAAATGGTGGATCATACATGAATGCTACTACTACGAAAATAAGGGTCTTCAAAAGGACTAAAAAATCCACGGAAGCATATAAACAAGGCACAATAACGCCTTTCATGAGAAAATGGTCATTTTCAATGACTTATTAGGTCCTTGCCTGTTTCGGAACTGATGTCAAATGGCTTGGTTTGCTTTGGGCTTTCATTCTACCCCACTCGGGTGATTTTCAACTTTTTTCCCTTCAAGGGAGTTTGTCCGATCGCCATGAAACACGAAGTCCCGTGAAAATTTGTCAAGTTATACTCATTATCCCGATAAAACTGTAGTCGGATTTATTTGCTAGCTCAATGTGGATTTTGCACTACCATTCAGCTGTTGAACAATTAGCTGATGCCGCACGGCATCCTATTGTAGTTTTTCCACTGGTGAGCTCATCAACTTGTAATAAAAAATTAAAACCAGTCAAAATCAACAAACATACTACGAGTTAGGAACGCGCATGAATATTACCATAATTAAACTAAAAGGAAAACTGATTCTGGTCCTGAGATAAGATGACACCTCAACGCTTCCACGCTACAAGGCCCGATACATTGGCGTAGACTAGGAGAGCATGTAATTTGTTTCGTTGAGAGTCTAGTTACCGCGTGATATTGCTTGTTGTTAGCAGAATTGTTGTTTGGTTATTTATGTTATTATTGTTTGGGTTATACTTATATTTCCTGAACCATGGAGGGTAAGACTTGAAGTAGAACCACTGCAAGCCAGGGAACAAGTAGAAAGCTTCGTAAGGCACTGAAAAAGTATGCGAAAGAAATCGTGCTCAACGTGTTCAATTATTTGAACAGGACTATGTCGCAGGGAGATGCACTTACGCGTGATAGGCGTCCCAGAGTGGACTGTTCGCAGGGTGGTACATGAACAGAAGAAATCTGGAGCTACTGCTGATCCAAAGTTCCATTTGAAGGGACGAAAGGCCATTAAACTAAATAGCGACAGCAAAATAGCGTTAAGACGAAACAAACATTCATTATTTTTCAGGAATGAGATACCAACCCTTAAGGCTATACATGCAAAGATTAAGAGTAATGACATTATACCCCCAGTGAGCGTCGAAGTATTAAGGAAAACCCTGCACGAAATTAATCTTCGTTACGAAACGTGTAATCGGAAGTCAGCATTGATAGAGAAACCTGAAATAGTCGCGTAGCGTCGAAAATACCTACGCGCAAGAACTGACTATAAACGACAGAGCAGAAAAATATATTATTTGGACGTGACGTGGGAAAATGCAGGTCACACAGTTAACAAACCTGGATAAACAAAAAATGTACTAACTAACCGACAAGCAAACATTGAAGGTTTGTCAACAGGTCTTCGTGCACCGTCAGGGAAAGGTCAAAGATTGATCGTTACACATATTGGCAGCAATAGAGGCTTTTTGAAGGAACAACTTGACTTTCGTCTATAAGAAAAGAGATGATTATCATGACTTTATGATTGCCAGCTGCTTCAAGAGTTGGTTTCAAGGGGTGCTTCAGTGAGTTAAACCCAACTCTGTGATCGTCATGGATAATGCTTCCTACTACAGTCGTCACGCCGAACTTGTACCAAATATGGGGTTTTGAAAAAGTGAGATGCAGCAATGCTGGGCTCAAGGGTTACATTGCGTGCCATAACACAACTTTTAAATTGCTAAGGAATTCCATACAGCTAGTAACGCCCGAAGCGTGGCAGAATGCTGTCAGTCATGTTGTGAAGGAAGAAACAAAAATGTGGTAGCTTGACCACAACATCGACACCATCATGGAGCCAGTTATAGTCCATCTTGGCAAAGAAAGCGATAACGACAGCTTATTACTCTCAGATCGAAGTGGAAGCGACGACGAATGAAGAGAGGTAGACTCAATTATTAGCTCATGGATAATCAGAAAAATAGCTGACAACGGTAATCTCCAAATTTCTGATCTATAACGTCTTTCAAACCATTTCATTTTTTATTAAACATATAAAATAAATCAAGTTTACCTACATTAAAAAGTTATACCCCGTCACTGACAACCCGACTACCGGTGGTAGAGTGATGTTCACGTGAACATCGATGAGTCATTGCAGTTTTAGATAGTTATGGTATAGTTGTGTTTATGGTACGAGAAATGTCGATGAAGATAACCATGGGAATGCCGCAGAGCTCCGTCGTAGAGCCGTTGTTCTCAAATCGGTTCTAGTATGGGGTTTTCTGCTTGAGATGGCTGGGAATTTGTCTGATTCGGCAAGCTGACGGGCTGGCGAACATAGTGACTAGCAAGGAGAGAGGCACACTAGGAAGGCTTCTGGCTATTATTTACTACTACTATTATCATATGGGATGGGAGAAAATGCCTTGAAATTAGCTCCTGAGGAGACAGAGATGGTTATACTTTCGACAGACAGAAGCTAACCTAATTGACTGTTAGAATGACAACACTCGTTAGTTAAAATGCAATTAAGTATCTGAGTGTGTGGCTCAAAAAACCTCCATATCTGATACGGCTAATTCCATCTGATGGAGGCCCCTGTAGTAAGAGACGCAGGATTTTGGCAGGGGTGGCAAACTAGGATATGCTAAACAGAGCGCCTATCTAGAACAAGGCTTTGAGAAAAAGATATTTGCAGCTAATGCTAAGAAGTTACCGAAATGTGGTGCCGTGCGTGGTATGCGCTCACGGAATGGTGTCGACGTACGCACTACTGGTGGTGGCAGATATCCCGCCCATTGATTTGCGCCGAAGCCAGATGCGACGATTTTTATTAGATGGCAGGAGAGATGGGATGCAACTGGTTATGGTACATGAACTAGAAAGGTGATCTCAGATATTAAAACCTAGAAACCTAGATTGACAAGCGGTGTGGATAGATTATTCCACAGTTGCTTATATGACATGGTTCTTTTAACAGCTATCTAAAGCAGGTACTCAAATGTGGTAGATGGGCTGACTGCCAGAGACAGCTGGAAGTGATGCTCGGCGCACTGTTGACAATTTTGCCAGGCAAATAAGCGAGGGCAAGTGGGTTGACATCTCAGGTGGATGATGTGATGAGTAAGGTTCTGGATAAAAAGTATAGACTTTTTAGTAAGCACGTCTTATACAAAAATTGTAGGATCTCATATAAAGATTTACGTGCAATATATTTGTTATGTCAAAAAAATGATATCGACTTAAGTTATATGAATATACCTATATAGGGAGCAGCAGTGGCCGCAGTGGTAGACTCTTCGGTCTCCTCATCAGTCGCCGTGCGCTACGCGGGTTCGAATCCTGTCCCAAGAGAAATTTTTCTCTTGGCTATGGATGTTGTGATTGTCCGTAGGTGATAGACGGTCTCTGACGAACGCGGAGGTACCACCCGGCGGACCTCGTAGGGCCAGAATGTGTGCATGTTTCATGCCAACGTGTTCGCTCGCCAGAGTCCGTGTGGCGCCTCCCCTTTCCCCTGTTTCCCCCTATAGCCCCACGGTACCCCTTGGGTGTTTAGACCTTAGGCCTTCGTGGTAGTTAGAGTATATATATATATATATATATATAGATATATAACAACAAGTGGGAAAATAATGGGCAAAATCCGCAAAAAGGAGGAAAGTGGATTCGAGCAGAAAATAGGATAGGTAACCCGAGCGATACGTATTTCTGCTGGTTGGCTTCATCAGGCCCGAAATGAATGCACATATGAAACTACAAAAGTAGATACACATGCCCACACATCCGGATACGGGTGTAACCTGAGGAAACGAAGTTGGAGGAAAAAAAAAACGACACAACAAGAGCCAACCTACACATTGTAGTGTAAAATGGCTATACGACCTCGAATTTTCAAGGAGACGTCTAACCACCACCACGCGGCCGGTTATAGCCACCTGCTGTGGTACTTCAAGCCCAAAGGATCTACAAAGAGAATATGATCATGCGGAGAAAGGTATATAACAACAAGTGGGAAAATAATGGGCAAAATCCGCAAAAAGGATTACATTTTACACTACAATGTGTAGGTTGGCTCTTGTTGTGGACTTCGTGTGTCGTTTTCTTTTTCCCTCCAACTTCGTTTCCTCAGGTTACACCCGTATCCGGATGTGTGGGCATGTGTATCTACTTTTGTAGTCTCATATGTGCATTCATTTCGGGCCTGATGAAGCCAACCAGCAGAAATACGTATCGCTCGGGTTACCTATCCTATTTTCTGCTCGAATCCACTTTCCTCCTTTTTGCGGATTTTGCCCATTATTTTCCCACTTGTTGTTATATACCTTTCTCCGCATGATCATATTCTCTTTGTAGATCCTTTGGGCTTGAAGTACCACAGCAGGTGGCTATAATCGGCCGCGTGGTGGTGGTTAGACGTCTCCTTGAAAATTCGAGGTCGTATAGCCATTTTACTCTACAATGTGTGGGTTGGCTCTTGTTGTGGACTTCGTGTGTCATTTTTTTTTTCCTCCAACTTCGTTTCCTCAGGTTACACCCGTATCCGGATGTGTGGGCATGTGTATCTTTTGTAGTTTCATATGTGCATTCATTTCGGGCCTGATGAAGCCAACCAGCAGAAATACGTATCGCTCGGGTTACCTATCCTATTTTCTGCTCGAATCCACTTTCCTCCTTTTTGCGGATTTTGCCCATTATTTTCCCACTTGTTGTTATATACCTTTCTCCGCATGATCATATTCTCTTTGTAGATCCTTTGGGCTTGAAGTACCACAGCAGGTGGCTATAACCGGCCGCGTGGTGGTGGTTAGACGTCTCCTTGAAAATTCGAGGTCGTATAGCCATTTTACACTACAATGTGTAGGTTGGCTCTTGTTGTGGTCTTCGTGTGTCGTTTTTTTTTTCCCTCAAACTTCGTTTCCTCAGGTTACACCCGTATCCGGATGTGTGGGCATGTGTATCTACTTTTGTAGTTTCATATGTGCATTCATTTCGAGCCTGATGAAGCCAACCAGCAGAAATACGTATCGCTCGGGTTACCTATCCTATTTTCTGCTCGAATCCACTTTCCTCCTTTTTGCGGATTTTGCCCATTATTTTCCCACTTGTTGTTATATACCTTTCTCCGCATGATCATATTCTCTATATAGATATATATATATATATATATATATATCCAATTGTTAACTGAGAAATTGGCAAACTTTTAGACTTAAGTTGACTCTTTTGACGATAAAATTAAGCTTTCGGAATTCTCTATGGAGCCTTCATCAGGATTCTGAAAACACAATTGTGATGCAAGCAACCAATACAGGACCGACTTAAATTGTCAAACAACTTACTCGTCGTTGAGGTTGCAGCCAAAAGGTGTTTCAAAACGAACGTAGATATGAGAGAACTTGTTACACATATAAAAACAATCGGACGGGGACATTGGGCTTATTGATAACGACAGATACCTTCGTTATGTGTTAAAAATATCAATACACCCGAACATATTGAAAATTATTAATCATGAGACATTTTGGGGAAACAATCGGAATGCAGTTTCTAACCTCCTACTTCCGCTACACGTGGAGAGGGGGACGGAACGGAAAGATAATGCGTCGACAGATGACATGTGATTGACGCGACGGAACGTGGAACTGTAAACCTCATTGTCCAATTTGGGTATGAAGTATACGAGGGACGCTCGGAATGCTTTGGCAATGAAGTTTTGAAGAAAACAGCCGTTTTCGACGGGTCACAGAAGGTCGTCAGTCCATCGCCGATGATGAGCGCAGCGGCAGGCCATCGACATCGAAAACAGAGGAAAACGTAGACAAAGTAAAGAAAATGTTGGCCACCAACCTCAAATTAACTATCAGAGGGCAGAGGAATTGAGCCTATGGATCCGTTCAAAGCGCTTTGGTCAACGATTTGGGTCTCCGTCGTGTTGCAGCCAAGTTTGTGCCGAAAGACTTGAATTTCATGCAAAAAATGACCGTGTTGATATCGCCAAAGACATGATTTCCATGGCTGATTGTGACCCAACATTTATCAAACGCATCATTACTGGAGACGAGACGTGATTTTATGAGTACGACACGCAGTCAAGCCATCAGGCGAGTGAATGGCGCGCGCCGGATGAGTCGCGACCAAAGAAACCGCGTCGTTTCCAGTCGAAAAAAAGGTAATGCTCACGGTTGTCACAGATTACTACGGCCTGGTGCATAGTAACTTCTTGCCAGAAGGTCAGACTGTCAACAAGGAATACTATTTGGGTATTTTGCGATGTTTGCGTGAATCAATCCGTGAGCAAACACCTCGTGGATCTTGCATCACGATAACGCACCATCGCAAAATACGATCTTTATCCGTGAGTTTTTGGTCAAAAACAACACGAATACCATTTAACAACCACCCAATTCACCTGATTTGGCCACCTGTGACTTCTTCTTGTTCAAGTGAATCAAAAAGCCACTGAGAGAAGCCCGTTTCAGCAGCCGAGAGGAGATAATGGGAAAATCGAAGACGGCCCTAATAGAGATACTTAACATCAAGTTTAAAAAATGTTTCGAGGACTGGATCAAGCGTTGGCATAAGTGCACTACAGTCAATGGGGACTACTTTGAAGGGGACAGTATCGATTTTGAACAATAAACTTATATTGTTTCTTTTTTTAATAAATTCCGGGAACTTTTTGATCAAGGTGGTATGTACCAATCAATGTATGAAGCATTAAAATATTCAGTACTTTTTTTGTTTAAAGTTGTAAAAGATTTATCCCTCAGTCTTCTCAAAAGTGAAAGTTCGTTGTAGTAACGAATTTTATCACGACTTTTGAAACGTTCTAGCCATTGCCTTGCTAGCCACCAAGTCATCTTTTTTCATTACATCCTTGTAAAAAATCTTAGCTTTCATGGCCAACATGGGTTCCAAAATAAGCGCCTGAAAAAACCACATGTACAAAGCTTCTTCCACCTCTGGCTGTTCATCTTTCCTATGTCTGTCTTCTCGCGGTTCTTTTTGATGCCATTAAATTCTAGATAGACATACACTGTATTTACTGCTGAGAGATTCATTATGGTTTAAGCGATCCAAAATATCGTGTTTTCTTTGCCAGTGTTTTGAACTTTCGCTTTTGGGCTTGTGAGGACATTACTATGTACGTATTTGTGACATACAATACAATGAATAAACAATAAACAACAATGAATGCTTGTTAGGTCGCCATGTATACAGACAAATTAAAACTGAAACAATATGCGTCGAGCAATCGAGCATAATAGTGGTAACGCGTATAAATTAGAACCTGTCCAATCATGCATTATATTACCGAAGATTTGCTAATTTTTATATATACAATCAACAATGATAGGCGTATCGGATTAGACAGGGTGCGGATTACCGCGGGTCTACTGTACATCAATTGAATTTCAAAGCATGCATATCTTCGTTGAAATACGGGTGATAAATATAGAAATCATACATATTACATACCTCTAACTTGAGACTTTGCATGGAAACGTCATTACAATGATACAGCCTTACTCTGAGGCTTCTTGTGAGTTCATTAAGACATCTCAAGACCGCATACGTTACACGCTTAGAGCCACAATTCGCCAGGGAATAGAATGCCTAAAAACATAGCTTATCATAAAAGACCGACAACATAGGTATATAGTTACCGAAACGATGTCTGAGCGCTGTAAGAATATTTCTGCAGGAAAATCGTGTATCAAAACGTTCGTAAAAAATTCACAGGTATGCAGCAGTGTTGCAGGTTGTGGCGGATCAGTCAATGACGTTGTTACACAGTCTAGAACATGCCTATCAGAGTCTACTAGGGGTTGCCATTTGAAGTAATAGTTTGGTAGGCAGTTCACAGGCGAATATAGTTCAAAGTGGTTGTCATTTTCCACTCTATATGTCCTAACTGTTGTGGTAGGTAGAGCATCTGAATCGTTATCCATAGAATGTTCAGCACTGTAATAAATACGACACGTTAGCATTGCCAGTGTGTCCAAGGGAAAAAGCAACTCAAATTTCTATAAAGCTTTAAACCTTTGTTACATATAGTGGCATATTGAAAGGGTTTTCTATTAATGACGGACCGATATTGCTATTAAGATAAAAAACAACAAAAAAAAAATACGGATGTGGGCATTATGTGATTCTAGCAGGTTCAGTTACATGTCATACAGCGAACACTATAATGGACATTGTGCACGTAGGATTTCAGAGTAGGATAGAAGCGACGTGAATAATTGTCCACCAAAAACTCTACGATTTGGCTCCATTTGATATTTTCCTGTTGGGGCTTTCTGAAATGAGAAATAAGCCGCAATTGACAGATGTGCTCAACGTCACTACATCTGAGCAAGAAAGATATCAAAAATTGAAAAAAGCGCGCCCTGGGACTGTTAAGGTTTGCCGCCCCGTAGAGAAACGGAGACAGGAAACCCAGTTGAGAGGACCCTTGAACCGCCCCTCACAGCCTACCACGCCGGGCCATGGACATTTTTGCCCTACAGCAAATGCGCCTCTGCAGATACCTGCCGCATGCGAACATTTGAACGATCTTATATATATATATATATATATATATATATATATATATATTCCATGCATAATGGCATGTATATCACGCGATGGGTACTCTTAACAGACTAGTTAACACTAAAAATGGATAGCATTGGGGATGCTGATAATACGAGAGTATGTGCCTTAGGCAAAGAAGTATCTTTTTCATACCTCAAGCTTTTGCTGTTTTTTGAAAAATAAGAAACGTGAGATTAGTGCAGGTAAATGACAAATCTTCTAAACTGAGACGTCGTCTGGTAGATATTGGCTATATGAGGTGTTTAACTCCTGTTAGAGAAGAAAGTAAAAAGTCAAGATCCAAAGCTGGATACAATATTTTATGCAACTGGTATTTTGAAGAGGATGTCTCAATTCAGATTCCTCATTTGCTTGCACTAATCTCATGTTTCTTATTCCTGAAGAATGAAGTAGAGGCTTCATTGTTTAAGACCTAAGCATAATCTTAATTTGGATTTCAAAAATAAAAAAATACCATGGATGCTATTTTCACATTACTCCAACAGTTATTATATACTCAAATTTAAATAGCTTTTTTGTGACTTTTCCAAAGCTTTTGACTGTGTTAATCATGATATACTATTAAATAGATTAAGCAAATATGGTTGTACTGGAACTTCACTCAGTTGGTTTAAAGCATATTTAAATAATCGATCTCAAATTATAAAATTATCAAGACATATCTCAAATAAATTAAATATAAACGCAGGGGTACCTGAAGCATCAGCATTAGGTCTGACCCTTAGTCTATATCAATGGTTTAATAAACCTAAACATAAATGGTAATTCGTAGTGTTTGCTGACGACGCAATTCTTTGGCAAGACACAGATATAAATGAAATTATGAAAAAAATTGATAGTGATATACAATCAAGAAATGGTGTGATAACAATTACTTGACTTCCAGTGTTGATAAGACAAAATTTATGCCATTTAAATGCTCCCTTGATTCTATAAATTTAAATAACGAATTGATACACAAAACAGACACCATACAACTTATGGGACTGACCACTGATAATAAATTAGACTTAACTAATCATGTAGACAAATTGTTTACTCAACTAGCAAATATTTCCTTTATTACAAGAACAATTAGTTGCAACATAGGAAAAAGCACCACCTTAAGCAGTTATTTTGCCTTATTATTGGGAGTAGAGATTCCCTTTTGATATGTTCCCAAAATTGTTAAAGAAAGTGCTTATTTTTCTACAAGAAATGTAAAGAAGACAAATTTTATATAAGTTAACACTATGTAGCTACTAGTTGGTAATAATATTAACATATTCTACCTGAAGATAGCCAACCTAACGCTATATTCCCGCGTCCAAAAAAATATCCGAGATACGAAGCGAAGGTACTGTAGCGACATGTTTGACAATTTGTCACAACTGCTTCTCTCTTCACTATATATAATTTGAAAACGTTATTGTCTCATAGACTGAGACACTGTTATGACGATGATCTCATATGTAGAGACGTTTGCACTTTCAAAGCTTGGTTATAAATAGGACGTCCTTGTAAAACAATGTGACCAGTACTCATTTGTCTTCTGTTAAATAAAGATGCTTTTTCAAACTTATAATTTAAAATATAATTTAGATGTCACTCTGTAGTCAATTTTATGAGAGTATAAGCATATAGGCAGCACCATCTATGAGAATCATCATTTCAAAAGCACACATAGTAAATAAAGAAACAGCTGTGACAAATTGTCATAGATAATGCTGCAGTACCTCGTTTAATCTCTGATAATTTTTTGGATGTGGGAGTGTAGCATTAGGTCGGTTATCTTCTAGTAGGATAAGTTAATCAATGTTAATAATTATTTACCCAGTTTGCTGTTCAACAGACGATCCTTTATGAATAGCCCCCTCCATAGGGGTAGCAGTAGTTTCGACATTTGGAGTGAATAAGTTGCTGCTTGTATCACTTCTATAACTTAAAGGAATGTTTGTTTCAAGTGGAGGTACATCGAGTTGTTGCTCTTTAGTGATGATTTTCCTCAATTTTTCTAAATAATGATAATACTTAGGCTCAATATATGTCTGTAGCTGGTCAATTTCCTTTTCCAGTGTCTGTTTGCCACAGTGATTCAACAAAACTTTTCCACTACCAGACTAAAAAATCCAAAATTAAATATAAATAGCTCTTTTACAACCAATTCCTATGAATAATAATGCCCACTCAGATACAGATATTGAAGGTATTAGCGATTGATAAGTCATTGCATAGCCATCTAAATTAGAGTTTCTCAACCTATAGTCAGCGAATCCCAGGGCATCTACCAGCATATGTATGGGGGTCCACAGTCCCCTAAAAATCTGGTATTTTTTGTAGGGACATATATGTCACATACCAATGTTTTTAGATACTATTGGATGCTATGTCAATTTAATACGTATTATGCGTTGTACCAGTCGTAAGGTGGAGTTTTATCGTATAGGAACAGCCAACAGAAAACTAAAAACGATTTGCCTGATGATGAAATTCTTAGCGTAGAGTCTAATGTAGCGTCGGATCTTGAGGAGTTTGAGGTAGAGCCTAACCCCATCAGTACGAACCCTAATATTCACTGGAGTACTAGTTGATCTTCATTTATTCCTTCAAAGAAGTGTACCTACCGCGCATGTTACACGTATTTTATATGCAGATATTCCTCACAAATGATCTGAGCTCATGTGTTTTTTGAAATTAGTTCCCAGAAATTTGTTTATTTTTATCGCTGAATGTACTAACCAAAGGCTAACCATTTCAGAAGAGAAGATAAAAAAGCAATATCTTCCTACCGATTATCACGAAATGATGTTGGTAATTAGTTATTTTGTCATGGCATACAATAAAGTACCATCTTAGGCTAATTATTTATTGGTCATCTAACAAATCACTTGGAAATGAGGCTTTTGAAAATGCCATCTCTAGAGACAGATTTTATCTTCTTACATCAAAAATGTATTACAACCATCCTAAAAAAAAACAGAAAATACAGACAAACTCATTTACATTTCTGATGTTATGTCGTTTCTCAAGCATACATTTCCAAAAGCTCGATCTGAAAGTACTTTTCAGAGAATATATGAGTGAATGTGAAATTTACAGGTCGTTCCTCGCTAAAACAATATCTTCCGTTAAAACAAATAAAGGAGTTATTCAGATTTGGGAGAGATGCGATTCTGACACCGGATATGTACGAGGATATACCCAAAAATAACCGGAAAAACACTGCAGTGGGCGGAGCTTGTGTAGTACACATTTCTGCCCCTAGAGGCGTACAGCGCAACTCATTACCAGTTCAGTGCGACCTGAGTTGTCGAACTGGCTTGTTTCGTTCCTCTGTAGTCATTATTTCTGCTAGAGCTGTTTCGTGATTGTTCTGTTTTTTACGATGGCAAGCTTCAGTGAGCAACGTACAGTTGTGAATTTTTGCATTCTAATTGGTAAACATGCTGCTGAAACTGTTTTAATGTTGAAAATAGTTTACATAGATGATGCTGTGGGAAAAACTTAGATGTACGAGTAGTTTGCTGGATTTAAAAATGGCGACATGTCGATTGATGACAAACCTCGCTCTGGACGTCCAACTGCTAGAAAGTACTGGTCGGACAAGTGTATTAGTTGTAGTGGACAGTATTTTGAAGGAGGTTACTTGAGCTTTTAGAGAATAATTCCGGTTTTTTTTTGGTACCCCCTCGTATATGATATGAACATGCTGGGAAAGACGAGGAGCAGAAAGAAGGAACATTAGGGGAAAGAGTGGTAAACAAGTTATGCAGGCTCTATAAATAATCCAAACGTGATATTGTGTTTTGATCGTGTTTTTCACGGCTGTGAATTTAATTGCCAAATTAGATTTTGCAGCTGTTGGGACACGTATGTCAAATAAAAAACCTGCCACAGTTTGAAAAGAAAAAAAAACGGGAAAAAGAGATTGCCAAACATTATTTAGTAATCAGGGTGTTATCGCACATCTATGGAAAGATTCTAAACAGGTTTTGGTAATCTTTGTTGATCTTTCAAAGCAAATGTCGATACTAAATTGATCGGACATCTCAAAAATGGTAGAGAAAAACATTTTATGAGCTACTGTTAACATCAGCCTCTAATGCATGAATAATATTCAAAAAAGCTCATAAGAGTGATGCTCTCTTTATTACATTTCAAACAAACCTCGCAGAAGATTTAATAAACACAGGTCGACAAAAAGCAGGTGTTGTTAGAAAACACTGTAGAGGCAGACCTTCAAGTTCAACAATACGTAGAAGATCATTTGTCGTTTCTAGGAACATCTCGTTGTAGATGTCATTCATGTACTTTTCGAAAAATGGAAAAAAGAACAAAAACTATGGATGTAAACTTCCCTTATGCAATGACTTTTTCCAATCCTTTCACACTTAAATTTTAAAAATTCATTATCTCCATTCAAGTTACATTTTCAACTATAAGTATTTTTGTTACTGGTGGGATATTTGTATCCATTTTTATGTACTGTTTGGACAAATGTGTCACATTTTGTATTTTTTGTTTATTACGTAATAAGGAAAAAATTGTTTTCATTTATTTAATACATTGATATTTATGTACATAAGGTATTTTGTATCTACATTAGAAAAAAAAATAAAAGTCGTATTTTGAATGCTGTTTTTGCTGGGACCCATTTGTTCTAACCGTAAAATTATGTTCTTCTATTTTCAAAATTTATCAGTTTTTTAAGGGGGACCTTGAAAATTGTGCCTGGTTTGCTCCAAAAGGTAGAAAAATAATGGTCTAAATCACCACTAACACACCATTTTACACAGGTTTCTAGATCTGGTACTGTATCTGGGACTTAAATTGATAAACTGTGTGAGTGGTGATATTGATATTGAGGTAACAGTTTGTCAGTCCCTGATCTCATTGATAGCCATCTATCAGTGGGCAGCATAACAGCAGTATGCCCTTGTGGGCAGTATCTAAGCTAAGGACATGCAGAAAGTGGCTCCAGTCTTCTCTATCACTAAAAATATTGTCTGTGTTGTCTTTAAGTTGAACTTTGCTCAAATACTAAGTCATTTTAATTCCAAAGTACAAAGAAAGGAAAACAAATATAAGACAGTGATAGATGCCTTTAGTGGAACATTTTTACATTTTTGGTTTTACATAATTATATTTTGATAAACTCATTACAAAAAAAGAGGTAGGTATTTCAAAATGCTGCAACGGTGAGAAGTGCAAAGGCATGTCTATGTCCCATAGAAGCACTACCCACTTAACTAAATTCATGCATTTTTTAAACATATATGTATACCACAATCAGGATTTTTTGTGCGTGGAAACATCAATGCTTGTGATACATAACTAGAGCTATGAGATTCTATTGATAGAACAAGGAGAGGTAATAACCTAAATTTACATTGACGCTGCCGTATTTGGTTACCTTTATTATCCTTTCGAGCAAAGTAAACACAGCTTCTTCTTGCGAGCATGGTTCAAATAAAAACCACTTAAACAGTTTGTTGAGCAATTCTTTACTCCGGGCCAAGTCATTATCAAATAAAGCACCACTATCTAGCTTTGAAATGATGTTTAATAATGCTCTTTCTCTTATTTCTTGGATTTTGTGTCCTAAAAAGTTTCGATTTGATTGAGGTTCTCAAGGGCTCGAGTATGCTTACCTAATTTTTCTATTTGTATTGAGGAAATGAATTTTTCGCTCATAATAATCTATGCGCATTATCAAAAATCTCGAATAAACTATTTCTTCCGTATATTTTAAAAAATAAATAGGATGTGTGTATTAAGGTAAACAATAACGTGCAATACAATTTCAAAATTTTGACAGGCGCAGTGCTTATTGTCACATTTACGTCACTTTTGAATTTGCTACCAACACTCAAGATGCTAAAGAGCTATTTATTCATTCCAAAATATTTACATTTGGGTTGTATTTCCATGCATTTATCTTGAGTTCTAAGGCTCACATCACCTCATCAGGCTCTCAGCTTCCATAGGACCACGACCCACGAAAATATGTGGCAAAAAAAGAATAATTTATATAGGTCTTCAGGTGTTTGGACATCGAAAAATTGTAACTGCTTCAGGTTTCCGTAGGTCTCCTTTGCCACATTTACGATTTCTAATATCATATTTTTGATCACAAGCTATCCATGAATTTTAATCGTACATCTTTATCATAATATGTTATTTCACTTTCCAATTTTGAATTTGACGATTCGTGACGTTATTCACCGTTACCGCTTGACCGGTGACAGGTGGGTGACAGTGGTGACACAGCCGTAATTTTTAGGTTATAATCAAATTCAAGCGGATAACCAAACGGAAATGGTATTTACCATTTTGGGTTGGTATTTACCAATCCGTTCAAGCGAGTGTAGTTATCAGTTTGGTTATAAGATCCGTGACGTCACGAATCAGCTGTTATATGTCATAGTTATCACCGCAAAATTGTGGTATTTACCCAACTCAAGAGTAGTTTTATATTTCTGGTTATTATTTGAAATGTGACAAGTTAAAATTTTGCCGGGTATTGGATATTGTTATTGTACTTCAGCTTCATTTTTGAGAAAATGATACAGGCTGACTTCAGTTTTACCATAAAGTGGAGCACCTTATTAGTTATACTCATTACGGTTGTTGGGGACACTTTAAATGTAGTTCCTATGCTTAACAAAGTATCCTGTGTAGCCATATACCACAAGAATATTAAAATATGGCCATATAAACTCACTAGATGATATCCACCTTTTCCACGGTTTTGCTAATTTCTTTTTTCATCATTTCTGCTGAATCAATAAATGTTTTCTTTGACATGCGGAAAAATTTAGAGAATTGAAAGTTATCATAGCTACAAAGCCATGGTTCCATCATTAAAAAAAAATCTGAAAAAAACATTTCTCCCATGAATATTATGACAGGTTTCTTATTTAAACTTTCCATATACAGTTGTAGACGAAAAAGCACTGATTATTAAGTGATAATAAAAATAATCAGAGATTATATACGCGCTTTTCTAAAATAAACAACTTGCAACAAAACCGCGGTTAAAACCAACGCGTTCAAGCGATTCGTGTAACTGACGTCATCAACCCGTGTGTCATCTTGAACCATATTATAACCGCGGCACATAACACAGAAATTTTGGTTATTCGCTTGGATTTGATTTAAGTTACAACCTCATTTCAAGATAATCGATCACGGAACAATGACAACTAGTTATCTAGTAATATTTCAAAATTCCCCATATCGGCACAGGACGCATAATTAATTCTGAGGGATCGGTGAACTCCAGGTAGACAGACCCGTATTTTGTTGTGGTTCTTTGTAGGCTACAGATTCATTTTGTACTTGCTCACAACTCTTTTATGTAAAAAAGTTTCAGCTCAAAAGAAAGAAGTCTGTCGTGTACGGTGCGCGTTACTCGCAGAAATCTATAAAAAAATGTTTTTCGTGAAACGTTGAAGAGGTGCGTTGATGTGTTTTTCAGGATTCAAAGTACGCAAGAAGAGCTACTATCATCAGTTATCAAAAAGTAGTGACAAACGTTCTTACACCCCAGCTCCAAAGAAAGAAGCCTGTCGTGTACGGTACACGCTACTCCCTGAAATCTCGGAGAAATTTTTTTTCGTGGAAAGTTGAAGAGGTGCTTTGATGTATTTTCCAGGGTTCAAAGTACATAACAAAAGCTATCATAATCAGTAATCAAAAAGTAGTGACAAACGGTTTTACGCCATACCTGTACATATCTGCGATATTGTAAAATGTCCATTATCCGTATCCGCCTTATTACTTTTCAGTGATACATGGATATCCAAAAACCAACAACTAACAAAGTTTGCATTTTATACATTCGCACTAAGATAATTTTCCTGGTAGAGAAGGGGGTGATGATTCTTGTCAGTAATTCCCTCTCTTCCATGTTTTTGTTAGTTAGAGTTACGAAATTATTAAAATTAGGAATTAACAAATAATTTAATAATTTTCAACAATCCACCACATTGCGACGACATATAAGCAACTACTCGTATAACCCATATATTTAACCGTTCATCAATTTTCTCAAGATACGCCTATTTTATGTATCCTTTCCTGGGTTCGCTTTTGTTTCTGAAACGTCGTCTGCAGCGTTGTCACTTTTACTACCTTACTACCGTTTTTTCGATATCGTAGAGTAGACGGCAAAGCAGCCCTCATGTAACTGTTGCGCTAAAGGTTGCGCGCCTGTGTGGCGAGATGCTTCTGGATTTCTTATTGGAAATACGGCCGTAAAGAGTGGGCTGCGTTGCCATTTCCTACTTGATGAAAAGTGACTCGTTATAAGCGGCATGCATATCGCAGGATATATACCCAACTAGGTTCAGGTTCTCACCCCAGTTCAGGGGGGGTGAAACTCATATGGGTGAATGGGAAACAAAGCAGTGCTGCTGGTGCAAAATATGATAACTGACGTTGTCTGATTGGTCAGATTCAAATTTCCGGCGGGTTTCTTCCTGTGCTTTACAAAAATAATCTTACTTTTTCAGCAAGCCATTTTTGTTGTATATAACATAGCATAATATAAACATTTCATTTTAAAGTCCCAATTATGTTATTTGAGACATGTGTCTTTTGTTCAGAGTTGTGAAGTATAAAAATGTAAGTACCCAAAGCTGTAATATATTTGTAAATACTATAAGACAAACTCCAAATCAAAACTGTCAGTCAGTAGCCTTGTCAGGCTTCTGGCAGATGCTGAGGAAGATCAGAGATGCAGCGGTTACTCATTTGAGAAATCTAATATTTGAAGATCATACCTGTTGGAACCTCCACATAACTTTTTGAACAGTGGAGCACTATGAAAACTTCATCCGCCGGTGTCAACCTCTGAGGTCAGAAGTTCGGAAATAACTTGTGATCTAACCAAAAGGCAAAGCTCTAAAGGATATTTGCAGACCATAACGTTTGTAAGGTTTTATATGACTAAATAACCAGTGATTTACTGATTTTTGTCCTAATTAGTTTCCATACTATTTTAAAACAGCTATTCTCAGAGCAGCTGGGTTGATACGCAAAACTCACTATAATTTCAATGGAGTCGAAGTCACATATTGTTATTGAACAATAGCATGTGTGCCCACAGGGTGGTCTCAGGAGGGCCATGGCCTCTTCTGGGAATTGGCTTTCACTTGCATATTTAGCATGCTTTTGTGTACAACTTTAAGAATTTTTTAGGATTTGTAAAATTTGGTACCTCTGCTTGTCAACAAATTTTGGGGGCAGGTACAATTTCACAAAAAGTTATGTGATGATGATCAGCACCCCTGAGAAAAATTCATCTGGGTGTCCATGGACAATAATATTATTGTTCTAATAAAAAAAGAAATCTGAATTGTAGTAACATACCAACACAGTTTAATTTTTTCTTAATTTTTGATTTATGCAGGTGCCACAAAGGCTGCGGAATGAAAACATCTGGTCCATAATAATGTTAATACTGATTTGTTTGTAGAAAAATGTATGAGATTATAATAAATTTATATTTAGGTATTTGCAGTATATGTTTTTCTTCTGAACCTTTCCAGATTAGTAAGTAGATATGAGTGATCGTATAGCAGCTTGTGTTATTGACGTTGATATACAGAAAAGCACTTATTCGTCAAGATAGCGCAAAATGTTGATAACACATGCTGTTATAAGATCTCCCATATCCCACCAAATTTCTATATATAAATGTATAGCAGTCTAGAATTTATATAAGAACTGACAACGTTGCGGGGTATTAATGCACAATCTGGCAATCCTGTCGCACCCTCAAAAAATGGCCGCTGACAATCACAGAAGTCACCGTGTTCCCATTTAATAGCATGGAATTAAACCTTCTTCAGTGTATATCAGAGTGTATAATCAAATTCAAGCGGATAACCAAATGAAAATGGTCCTTACCATTTTGGGTTGGTATTTACCGATCCGTTCAAGCGAGTGTGGTTATCAGTTTGGTTATAAGATCCGTGACGTCATGAATCAGCTGTTATATGTCATAGTTATCACCGCAAAATTGTGGTATTTACCCAATTCAAGAGTAGTTTTATATTTCTGGTTATTATTTGAAATGTGACAAGTTAGAATTTTGCCCGGTATTGGATATTGTTATTGTACTTCAGCTTCATTTTTGAGAAAATTGATACAGGCTGACTTCAGTTTTACCATAAAGTAGAGCACCTTATTAGTTATACTCATTACGGTTGTTGGGGACACTTTAAATGTAGTTCCTATGCTTAACAAAGTATCCTGTGTAGCCATATACCACAAGAATATTAAAAGATGGCCATATAAACTCACTAGATGATATCCACCTGTATACAGTTTTGCTAATATCTTTTTTCATCGCTTTTTCACCATTTCTGCTGAATCAATAAATGTTTTCTTTGACATGCGGAAAACTTTAGAGAATTGAAACTTGTCATAGCTACAAAGCCATGGTTCCATCATTAAAAAAAAATCTGAAAAAAACATTTCTCCCATGAATATTATGACAGGTTTCTTATTTAAACTTTCCATATACAGTTGTAGACGAAAAAGCACTGATTATTAAGTGATAATAAAAATAATCAGAGATTATATACGCGCTTTTCTAAAATAAACAACTTGCAACAAAACCGCGGTTAAAACCAACGCGTTCAAGCGATTCGTGTAACTGACGTCATCAACCCGTGTGTCATCTTGAACCATATTATAACCGCGGCACATAACACAGAAATTTTGGTTATTCGCTTGGATTTGATTTAAGTTACAACCTCATTTCAAGATAATTGATCACGGAACAATGACAACTAGTTATCTA